TATGTTTCGGTTTCTGCCTACAACCACTTGCACGGCGAGGGTTGAACGTGTCCGTATCAACCAAGCCAACACCTCAAGCCAACGATTCGGATGCCCCCAGAAATGTTTGTGCTCACACCACCTATCGATCTTACCAGCCCGAGAATCATCGAGTCGTTTGCCACCTTCGCGTGAACCGCTCGAGTTTCGATGGATGGCGGCTCTTCCAAGATCTCGTGGCGGGAACTCGGGGTCAAACCTTTGTAAAATAATACAAGTATATAGTTCCACAGGCTTTTTCCGCTTGGAGCAACAAATTGAGCAGGGATGGCGGACAAGCGGAAGAATGGCGCTGATGCCACCGTTGTTGCGGAACTGCTATCTTCAGATGACGAAATGAACGAGACAAATCTACGGAAGCGTCTTCGTCTTGCGGCCAAACCACAAGCTAACACTCGGCATGAGAACGAAGTTGTCCCGCCTTCACCTGAGAGCATTTATGGAGACAACGACCCTACCGTGTTGGAGCGGCACTCAAAACCTCCACAATCAGGGATGTTGTCACGACCGCGTCGTTCGGTTCGTGATGCCAAGTTCGCATCGACGATTACTTCAGCGGAACCACGTGCTGCTCCACGGCCAGTGGGCAAAGCACAGCAGGTGCAGCTCAAGCTATTGGACTACGATGCATTTTTGAAACAGCATGGCATCGAGGAGAAAAAATACCCGGCACGACATGGCGGCCGTCGGTCAACTCGAACGAAGATACCCAAACGATCATATTCGAGCGATGACGTCGAAGATAACGAGGACGACGACGACGAAGCGGCCGACACAGGAACATCTTCTGACGAAGAGGAAGACAGACCCAAAGTGGCTAAGGGCTCGAGATCATCTGCACGCAAACCACCAGCAAAGAAACAGGCCACAGCGTCGTTCAAGACTACGCAGCGGCGCTCTGCAAAGGGCAAGCAACAGAGCAGTTCAAACTCGAGCGACACAGACGACTTTGCTGCCGAGGTGGCGTTACGAGGCAAGAAGAAGCCACCGCCCAAGAACAAAACAGGCGGACCCCATGGCAAGGCCAAAGTTAACAAGAAGACGTTGTCGAGCAACGACAGCAACGATTCGAGCAATGATAGCGGGGCGAAGGCGTTCACGAAAACGCGCAAAAAATCAAAGCGCGCCGAGTCCAGCGATGACAGTGACGAGATGTTCCGGAAGTTGCCAGCAGACGACGACGACGACGATGGCGGCGACGACAATTTCATCATCGACAAAGTCTTGGCAAAGGAAACCCACACAGCGGCCGAGTGGGCGAAAAAGTGCCACAACATGCACACACACTATGTGTCCTTGGGATCCATCTTCGTTGACGACGACGAAGACGTAGCTCCATCAGAAGCCCCTGCCAAGGACAGTTCTGCCGACGGTGCGCTCCTCGAAGACGACGCGGACAACCCCGTCGACGACAAAGGAATCGACAAGTTCTTGATCAAGTGGCGCAATCTGTCGTACTTGCATGTGACGTGGGAGACAGAAGCGGCGCTCGTCGAGTACGAGAAGAATGCCAAGGGCAAGATCCAGCGCTTTCTCGACCGATCGGCCAAGCAGCTCTTGATGGAAGAGTCCCAGGGGGATGAGTACTTTAACCCGGAGTTTTGCACGGTGGATCGCATCCTGACGATCCAGCCGACGGACGTGCCGGACGGCAAGGGCGGGTTCCAGATGGAGTACTACGTCAAGTGGAAGGCGCTCCCGTACGACGAATGCACGTGGGAGCAGGAAGTCGACGTCCACGATGACGCGGCCGTGCAGCTTTATTACGACTACAACAAGCCGCCACCGTCGCCGGCCGCGGCCCCGGCCAAGCGCAAAACGGCGCAGTTTCGACCGTACAACAACGAGAACCCGTTGAAATTCAAAACGGACGGTCTCCAACTCCGCGACTACCAAGTCGAAGGCGTGAATTGGATGATCTTCAACTGGTACAACCATCGCAACTCGCTCCTGGCCGATGAAATGGGGCTCGGCAAAACAGTCCAGACCGTAACGTTCATCAATCACTTGGCCACCAAGGAAAACCTCCGCGGCCCGTACTTGATCATCGCGCCGTTGTCGACGCTGTCGCACTGGCAGCGCGAGGTACGCGACAATGCTTGGCGCTCTGCACATGCCACGCCCCCGGAGCCTGTCGAACTCGCTTGCTGGTATGTGGATCGATACACTCATGTTTGTGGTGTCTAGTTTACTGGATGGACAAACTTGAATGCGATCATTTATCACGGGAGCCAGGAAGCACGCAAGATCATCGAGAGTTACGAGTTTTACCGCCCGACGGCGACGTCCCATGGCGCCAAGTCGGCCAAAGACACGCCTCGCTACAGGTTTGACGTCCTTATCACGACGTTTGAAATGTGCACTGCCAACGACTACCTGACGCTGGCGCGAATCCAGTGGCAACTCGCCGTCGTCGACGAAGCGCATCGGTTGAAAAACAAAAAGTCGAAATTGTCGTCGGTCCTCCAAGACCGGTACCAGTACGACAACTTGCTCCTCCTCACGGGCACGCCGCTCCAAAACAACGTCGAGGAGCTGTGGACGTTGCTGCATTTTCTCGACGCCGAGAAATTTCAGTCTGTGACGGCCTTTAGCGAGAGGTTTGGCGATTTAAAAGATTCTGCCCAAGTCGAAAATCTCCACACGGAGCTCAAGCCATTTTTGCTGCGGCGGATGAAAGAAGACGTGGAAAAGTCGTTGGCACCCAAGGAAGAAACGATCATTGAAGTCGAACTGACCGTGTTCCAAAAGCAGTACTACCGCGCCATTTACGAAAAAAACTCGGAGTTTCTTGCGGTGCGTTTGATCCTTACCGAATGATGTCCTTATGCGTGGATCTTGGCTGTGACTAGCGCGGCGGCAAGAAAGCGCACGCGCCAAGCTTGATGAATGTCGTGATGGAGTTGCGCAAGTGCTGCAACCATCCATTTTTGATCCAGGGCGCAGAAGAGCGCGAGATCATGCGGCTGCACAAGGAACAGCCGCGGAATTTGGCGGCAAGTGCCCGCCGGGAAGCCGTGCACAAGCAGCTGAACGAGTTGCTCGTGACGTCGTGTGGGAAACTCGTTTTGCTCGACAAATTACTGCCTCGATTGCGCGAAGGCGGCCACCGCGTTTTAATTTTTTCGCAGTTCAAGATCATGCTCAACATCCTGGAAGACTATCTGCGCATGCGGGGGTATCCGCGCGAGCGCATCGACGGGAGCATCACAGGCAACGACCGTCAAGCCGCGATCGATCGGTACTGCGACCCGCAACGCGACAGCTTTGTCATGCTGCTGAGCACACGCGCCGGTGGCGTCGGGATCAACTTGACGGCCGCCGACACATGCATCATTTACGACAGTGACTGGAACCCTCAAAACGACTTGCAGGCGCAGGCGCGGTGCCATCGCATTGGGCAAGACAAAAGCGTCAAAGTGTATCGGCTCTTGACGTCGAAAACGTATGAACTCCACATGTTTCACCAGGCATCGATGAAGCTCGGGCTGGACCAAGCCGTCTTGGGTGGCATTCGTCAGGTCCACTCGGCCGCCAAAGGGCCGTCCAAGGAAGAGATCGAGAACCTGCTCAAGTACGGCGCGTACGAGATGTTCAAGGAGGACGACGCGGAAGCAGCGAGCAAAAAATTCAACGAAGAATCCGTCGACGAGATCCTGAAGCGCAGTAAAACGGTGATCCACGACCCGAAGAAAGTCGCGGATGCGAGTGCGGCGGCCGCGTTTGGCTCGTCTTTCTCGAAAGCGACCTTTGTGAGCTCGGAAAACCCTGCCGAACAAGTTGCGTTGGACGACCCCGACTTTTGGATCAAAGTGATCGGGCTTACGGGCGTTCAGGAGCCCACTGCCAAGAACAAAACCCCCGAGAAACGCCGGTGCCGGGGACGCAAAACGTACGAAGAAATCGGGAGCGACGACGAGCGTCACGACGCTGATGCCGAGTACAAGTTGGAAGAAGCGTCGGAAAGCTCGTCGAGCGACGACGACGGTGATCCAGACGTCGCCATCGTCAAGACGCTCACGCCCGCGTTTTCGAATGTCCACAGATTCCATCAAAATTTTGTGGTACGTTCGTCTCGGCTCTCAATTTGTGTGGTTGTGATGCCGCGCGGTGGCGTAGACGGCATTGCTGTCGTACGGCTATGGACGGTGGACCAAGATCCGCATGTCCGACCCGATATTAACCAACTTTTCCGTCGTCAAGATCAAAGATTACGCGATGGGATTCCTCGTCCAGATGATCCGCGTTGCGGTGATGGATCCGACGACGATGGCGCCCCCCGCGGACGCGACCGCAGCCGCGGTCCAGCAAAAGAACATCGAAGCCGGTATGACCAAGCTCGCGCTGAAGTACAAATTCGTCGTGTACTGGCTGCACGTGCTGCACCGAGAAGAAACTCCGGCGTCGACGTCGCGCGAGTTGTTTAGCTTGCATAAGATTCCAGTCCAAGAGGAACTCACGCGGTTGAATGTTGTCGCATCCCTTGCCAAGACTGCAACCAAGTATTTACAATTGCTCGAAAGCTTGTTTATCTTGGATCAGTTTATTGCAAAGCGACTGTCGCCGATGCTGGAAGTGATGGCCGTCGTGAACATGCCGTACGAATCTGCTGGTACGACATACCGTTGCAACCGTCCATGACATCAGCGATGCGGTTAGATGTAGCTACTGGCGCGGCGGACGTATCGACCACGGGCGATGGCAATGTGGGCTTGCCAGAAGGGCCACCCCGACCAGATAATGACGCGGACGCGGTCACAGACTCAAAAGATGCTGCAGTCGGCGGAGTAGCAGTGTCCATGACTACTACGTCAACAGATTCAGAAGTCAAGTCTATCACGGCCGCAGAAGAGACTGAAGCTGCCGCTGCCACGACAGCGGATGAAAACAATTTACAAGGAGAAAATGTCGAGACCAACGGTTCTGTCGACGCGACCGCCGAAGTGTTGGCGCAGTCAACGTCGGCCACGTCATCTCTGCCAAAGCAAATGGTCCAGCCCGAAGTCACAGCCAAGTGGACCCACTACCTGGGCGCGCTGTATAAATTGCCAGCCATTCCCGTCGTTGGGTGGTGGAGCAGTCCTCAAGACGACATCCGATTGCTGTATTGTGTCCACCGATACGGATGGCTGCGCGGGTCCAAGTCGCAATTCCAACAAATCCGATCGGACCGACTTTTGTTCCCTCCCACGCATCCTGGTAGCAAGGACGATGCCCCGTGGCCGTCCATTGGCACACTGAACCGACGGCTGAAAGCTATCCTACGATATTGGGCCGAAAAATCGATCTCGTCCGTGTGGTCGTCGCCTGCAATCAAGCAGGCGCCACCCGCCACGACCACGTCGAGTGCTGCGATGCGTGCTGCATATTCCGCGACGGGAACAATCCCGCCATCCGCTCGAACGACGGCGGCGTCGACACCTGGTCCGCCACCAAATCGATCCTCCACAAGTGGGAAAACACCGAGCCAGGTGTATCTGCAGCAAATGTGGGAACGCCGGACCCGTTTCATGGGCCTTGTCATGTCCCATGGCGTTCCTGACGTCCGCCTGTGCTCGAACGCCAAGGAGGAGCACGAGAAGTGGCGGTATTTTCTATTTGATCCAGTCCTGCGCGCCAAACACTTCTCGCCGCAAGAGCTACTCGCCGAAGCGACCAGTCTTGAAGAAGTTTGTCGGAGCTACCTGAAGAACGTAAAACCACTCAAGTCAACAGAACGATCTGTCTTTGGCGCATATCGCCACGACTGGGTGGTCACGGAAGACCAGGCACGGGGAATTCTGTACCGAATCGAGCTGTTTGCGTTGCTGCGGCGCGACGTTTTGATCATGCGCCCCGCCGATCTGTACACGACAATGGTGCATGTCGTCCGCGATGTCCATCAAGTCCTTTCCGTGCCGTCGTGGTGGAAGAGCCCCGAGTGCGACATCCTGCTCATGCAGGTGGGTCATCCAACTTGTTTCGTGGCCGAGGATGTTGAGCTGCATTTTGTGGCCATGTAGGGCGTCGAGTGCTTCGGGTTGGACGACAACGTCAAGGATATGTGGGAATTGGACTTGTTTCGGTCGCTCAACCCGACAGGACTCTTTCCAAGCGTGTCGTGGGTCGACAGCACCGTCATGGCGTGTGCGAGGGGTGTGGTGCGGGCGCGACGGGCAGCTGAGGCGGCGCTGCATGAACAGCATCGTCAGCAACGGGAAGCGGCAGAATTGCACGCAATGGCCGAGCGAGAGGCCAGTCGTGTGCAGGGCGAGCCGAACAACCTGCCGTCGCAAACGGTTGCTGCTCTCTTGGTCAACGAGGCGGACGTAAGGGACCAAGAGATGGCTGCGATGGCGCAGGAAGACCCGCATTGCAGCTCAAAGGCATTTATGTGGTATTTGCTCCAGAAACGAGAAGCGGAACTCAAGGCGCATCGCAACAAGGCCCAGTATCGATATCAACGGGACCTCGTCCAACGGCAAATCGAACAGGAGCGCCAGTTCCGAGAACGCGAACTTGCCCGGCGCGTCGGGTTAGGCCCAAGCACCAGAGTGCCGGAAATCATCGAGATCGATGACAGCGATTAGTGAATCGAATGGTGTGTTGTGCGGTGCTCGATCCAACAAATTCCCTCGAGCACAAGTCGTTCATTCTGAAGTGCATGCGACCACGCGAGTCTCACCCTTTGTGTTGATCGGAGAGCACACGATATCTCACCACGAGCGAAGGACACCGTCTACGAGGTCGAGAATGTGGCGGTCCTCGATAAAGCCAAGGGGACATGGTGTGTGGGCTTGGCGCAGGCACGCCTGCCCAACTTGGTTAGGTTTTGTTCAGTGAGTCGCTTCGTCGCCAGGAAGCATGGCACTGTCCGACGACGGAGCTTTCTCAACTAGAACGGGATGCGCATTGCCCCACACAAAATCGGGTTGCGTCGGTACACTTCAAACGCCGCAGTGGCGACAGGACGTGCTGCTACGGTTCGCAGCACTCCAAATGGACCAGCAAGGTTCCCTCGTTCACTGCAGGGCTGTTGGGTCCATGGACGCTTGATTCAACCATACCGTCCACGAGCTCGACAACGCCACCGGCATGCGCATGAGTGTACGGTGTTGGTGCATGCTGCACCGTAACAACAAGACGACTGTCGCGCCGTGCGCCACGGAATGTGCTGTCACGAAAATGAACGCAGGAGTCCATCAGCCCTGGACTGTGAAAAGCACACCCAGATTGGCTGCATGGACGACTGAGTGCGGAGCTGGCGCATCGAATTGTGCGATCACTTCTTCACGCAAACAAATCGACAAGATCAACCGAATGCGTCGGGCGATTAAATTGATTCGTGCCTCTGGACGTGTTGTAGCTGTCGTTGAAGTGGATTGCCGCGGTGGTGAGGGTGACGGGACGAAGCGATCTTGGAGTTGGCTGGCGGACCAGTGCCAGAGATCACCAGGTTGGAAGGAGCGTCGCAAGGACGTTCAACGCTTTGATGGCGAGCACGCTTCTATGGGCGCACTCAGGACGACGAAGTGTGCAAGGCTGCGTAGAGATAGTCGACGACGTCGACATGCCCGCGAGACATGGATTTGTGCATAGCTTTTGTGCCACACGCTTGCTTTCCGTGCTCCCACAGCCACATGACGAGCTCCAAGTGGTTTTCTTCCGCGGCGGTACACAGCACTTTGCCATCGTCGCACGGTTTATCATGGATAACAAGCCACTTGACAACGTCGATGAATCCCTTGGACGCGGCCCCCGTCATCGCTTCCTCCGTGCACGTTGCTGACACGTGATGCAGCCACTCCAGGACGTCCACATATCCATTTTGTGCCGCAAAGTCCATCGCATCCGTCGTGCATGTCAAGCCGTGCGCGTGGAGGATTTTCAGCACGTCCAAATGGCCATTTCGGGCGGCACCATCCATTGCTTTGAACGTCCCACCTTCTGTCCGGTGAGCCAACAAAAACTGGACGACGTCGGTGTGGCCGTTGGTCGATGCCCAGTCCAGCGCATCCGTCGTTGCGCCGTCTGCGCGGTTCCAGTGCAGCCATTCGACAATCGCCAAGTGGCCCTTGCTGGCACTCCAATCGATTGCCTTTGACGACGCCCCTTCCGTGCGATTCGCATGCAAAAACTGCACAATATCCAAATGGCCCTGGTCTGCGGCGTTGTCCATCGCCTTGTGCGAAGCTCCTTCAGTACGATTTGCGTGCAGGAACTGGATGACGTCTAGGTGACCGCCCGCGGCAGCACCCGACATGGCACTCGTTGTGCAGCCCTCTTGGCGAAGTTCATGTAGGAATTGGACGATCTTCAAGTGACCTCTGGATGCGGCCCAATCCATCGCGTGCGTCGTTGCAGTACTCCGTGGGTGAAGGTACTCTACGATGGGCATGTGGCCGTAGCGGGCGGCAATGTCGATCAGGGCTTCGTCGACTGGAACGAGCCCATGCTCGTCCAGAAACCCAACTAGAGACAGGTCACCCACGAAGATGGCGTGCACCGTCAGACACAGTTGAAATCGTTCAAAGGCCCCGATCGAGCGTTGGATGCGAGTTGTCTTGTAGGATGTAAGCCATGGCTCAAGCAACTCTGCGTTCTTTGTGATGGTGTCTTGGGGGAAAAAGTACCGACTGCGCAAGTTTGGCGGTCGAAGGCTGCGCAATGGCACTAAATCTTCGTAGATTCCGTTCTGGAATGCGCTCACGATGCGCACCACGGCTGGATCGAGCAACACGGCAGCACAAGGTGTCGCCATGGCCACGGATCTGACCTAGAAAAATGACTTATCTAAACATTATTGAAAATAGATGAATTTCTTCATGCGGAACTGTGTTTGGCTGTCCGTGCCGCAAGGAGCTCGCTCCACCATTCCTGAGCTATCCCATGCCCTCAGCCGTCGGCTTTCCAAATGCAGGTTTAGCGAAAGCCCGAGCGGCATCAAGAGGCCTCGTCCTTGTGCCTAGTTCGTTCCCTGCGATGGACAGTTGCATTTGCATGTCACAAACAGGCACCAGGAGAAAGGCACGAGAGGGGCGCCAGTAGACTTCAAACATTTGCACGTGTGCCTCATTCTCGTTGCTCGCCACTCCCCGGATTGTACGTCTCCCCCTCCACGACATATGCTTTCTGTTGTGGAGTTGTGAAGGGGTGAACCGGGCACGTCCGAAAACGATATCGTGTGCGTCCACGTCGCCGCACGGCAGAGAAGACTGTGCACTCGATCGCACTCGTCAATATTTCACGTCGTACAGCTTCCGTCGACGGTTGTCGGGCGTGGCACGGCCGCGCATTACGTTGGCTCGATCGCACCGCCGCATATGAATTTAAATAATCGCCATATCAAATCGCAGGCATATTAAATAAAACTTCATGAATTTTTCCTCGTGTTGCCGGTGTAATGGTGGGGGCGTAATGAGGGTTCTCACAAGCGTAAAGGACAAAAATTGAAATTATTTTACACTTCATCAATGTATTGCATCATCACAGTCGGTACGTTCTGGTTTCAAAAATAGTCTATTTCCATGCGTGTCAAATTCGACGCGAACGTGCCAACGCGGCATAATTCGTTTGCTCTTCTGACCTGACGATGTCACCATGCTCGGCGTTGGTATGTGCGCTTGTGGCGGCCGTGAGCTGCACGGTGCAAGCCCTCGACCCGATCGTGGTCCGCGGCAACTACATGTACAACTCGGTCACTGGGGACCGCTTCGTCATGCGTGGGGTACCGCCACCGCCTCGGTATGGATTGACGTAGTCACGGTGGTGTGGTAGATCACATATGAATACGACGTCAGCAACGACAACTACGAGAAGAACAGCAAGGAAGCGATCGACCGCGCTGTCCAGGACTTCAATGGCACGCTCAACACGCTGCGCATCTACCAGATCAACCCCGAGAAGAACTACTCCATCTTTATGGATCACATGGAAAAGGAGAGCATCTACGTCATGCTGGCAGCGTCTCCGGGTACACAAGACTACTTTGGAAGCTACCAATGGTCCCCAATTGCCAAGGCATCGCCCCCCAACGGCAACACCACTTGCTACCCATCGTACCTGCTCCACTACGGCAAGAGCATTGCCAAAATGTTTGCTCCGTACAACCACACACTTGGATTGATCATGGCCAACGAAGTCATGCAGGCGTCGTTGATCGCCGCGCCGTGCGTCAAGCAGTACGTGGCGGATTTGAAGAACTGGATGCGGTCCAAGCACGACCGGATGCGGCTCCTGCCGCTCGCGTACGCCGCCGCCGACGGTGCGTACGTAGGGGACAAAGGTCAAACGGAAAAGCCCAAGACCCTCGTGGACGCGAACGAGTATGCCACTGTCAAGATCCAAGGGCTTCTCTGCGGGGACACCATGGTGAACGGCCAAATGATGTCCAGCATTGACATTTACCTCGTCAACGAGTACCGGTGGTGCCCTGGCTCCAAGTACGCCGACACGTACGCGCACTTGCAAGCGATGGCGTCGGGAGTTCCGATCGTGATGGGCCTGGGCGAATTCGGATGTGACAAGAACCCGCCACGTGACTTTGCCATGATCCCGTATCTCTTTGGCGACTCCAAGACGTCACAGGGATTTTCAGACGTGTACTCGGGCGGGTTTGTCTACTCCTTCGGCGAAGCCAACCTCGGCAAAGACACGTTTTTCCCCCTCTTCACCGGTACGTCGAGCAAGTGATCGGGCCAATGCTCACCCCGTTGGTGCAGGTGGCGACCACTCGATCACGGGCAAGCCGGGGATGATTGCCACCCCCGCGTACCAAAACCTTGTCAAGCAATTCAAAGCATACCCTCCGTTCAAGGAGTACGCCCATGCGACGTGGAATGCGGACAACATGACCGAACGATGCACGTGGGTCCCGCCGTTGACTGCCAAAACGTCTCCCAGTAACAAGCGCGCGACGACCCAAGGCTGGGTCGTCCCAGAATGTACAGCCGTCACGGTCGTGTCTACGGACGTGTGGACGATGGATTCGCGGGAAGGCGCGCCGTGCTCTGACGACGGGGCGGCGTGCGACGTGGCCGTGCCGAAATCGACCAAGGCGCTGTCGCAGCAAGCCCTTTGTGGAGGTATTTTGGCTGCCGGCAAGAACTGCCGCAAGGACTCGGACTGCGGGGTCTCTGGAACGTGCATCCAAGGATTGTGCGAGTGCAAAGGGTGCTTCACTGGCGCCGGGTGCAAGATCGCCATCAACGACGAATCGATCTGCTCCATGACAACCAAGCCCCCAGTGACCTCGCCGCTTACCAAGGACGGTCCGTCCACTGTCAAGCCTAACTCGGCCACGATTGCCCTCGTGTCTGTCGGTGTACTTGCTATCGCCCTCGTGCTGTAAGGAGAGCAGCTCGGTCGATATGAAACATAGACAGCAAATCTCGTCGTATCCATGGCATGGTTGCCGTTGATTGCAACGCAGCTATTGTCCAATCTGGCCGAGAATCCCAGCTCGCGCTGCAAGATAGCTAGCACGCGCTAGAATGGTGCGAGGAACGCACTTGCCCATGCCAAAGTACCTTCTGGGTAGTGCTTTTCACCGGAGCACAGCTGAGTGACGCAAATACTACAGCAGCGTTGGCCATATATAATTGGGGCGCAGTACTCGCCAAGGCACCGCACCACGTCGGTCAAGCATCCATGGTCGGTAGGTGGTGTGTTGTGCGGGTTAACGTGGGGAAGGACATTCAGGCCCTCCAAGTCACACCCGCGGCCGTCCTACTCGGGGACAGTGGGGTCGCTTTTCCGCTTGTACTTGTCGAAAAAGTCGGATATGGCACTCGCGAGCGACGACGGACTTGACGATGGCGGCGGGATTTCGACGCTCAGACTCTTTCGCGGTCGAAAGAAGCGAAAGCCGTCGTGTGGGCTCGCCCTGCATCGAAAGCGTCGTCAGCCACGACCGGTCTTAGTGCATCGATTGACACAAACGTACGCTGCAATTCGAATCGTCAACCACCGATGCCACTGGTGATAAGGCACATCGTTCGCCATCGCTTCGCGGAACCACGCTTGGATCGTGTGGCGACTCGATCCTTGCAACAACTTGTCATGGGCGCCGTGGTCCAGGATAATGCCGAGCGCAGTCAGCTTGAAGAAGTTTTCGAGGCGGTCGAACGACGCGAGTGCCGTCCGGTCTTCCGTCGACAGCATCGGGGTAGCATAATCGTCCTTGTTTTCGACGCCGGCGTTGTTTTGCGGCAACGACGTACTGTCCCGACCGACGAGCGCCTCCAGCTCGCGTTCAAGGCGGTTGCACTTCACCATCATCGAGTGCATCAAGTTCGACTTGGCCTCGACGTGGTCGCCTTGAGTCTGCAGCTCCAACGTCAGCTCCTAACAACGCATGCAGCCACATGCTTGAGCGTCGAACGATGTGCGCATCCCTTGCACCTCTATCGTGTTTCGAAGGCGATCTTCGTCCGCCAATCTAGTCAACAAAACCAATACCCACGTTAGAAACACCATGTCTTTTCACATGCGTCACGCACCGCTCTTGGAATGCTTCATGGTACATCTCGACCTTGGCCATCGCAGCCGCCAGCCGGCTGTGCAAGGTGGCGTTTTTGGAGGCAAGTGCCTTCCGCACGCTTGCGTCGTTGGCTGCAGCACATTTCATCTGTTGAATGATGTCGAGCATGTCACGTTTCGTCGACTGGAGACGGTGGATCACAGCGTCTTTTTCCACTGCGGTCGCCATGGCGTCCTGCAATGCCACGGTGGCGTCATGGAGGGCGCTGGTCAGACGATCCACTTCGGCTTGAGTGTTCCTACGGGATTCTGTGACGATGATGATGGACATGGGCATATTGATGTCGCCCGGACGAGTTGTAGGATGCAACCTCGACTGAATGAGCTGGTGGGTGTCGGCGCCCTTTGAATGCGAAGGCGCATGATCCCGGTCTTGCTGAAGTCGATCCAAAGCCTCTTCGGTAGTATGGCACCTCCTACCGCCGCGCATCTCTTAAATAAATGTATTTCACGCTGGATATTCTACCGCTTCCATGCATCGCGATCGAGCTGCATGGCGTGCAAGAGCCGTTCCAGAGTCGTGATTTCTCCCTTAAGCTCACTCACCGCCATCTCGTGGGCGATGTGTATCCTAGTAGCACGTCATTATGATGGTGTCATGATCGGGTGTCACCTCTCCATCGACTGTATGAGGTCGCTGTTCTTGGCTACAAGATGCAGGCCATACTTTGCCGCTTGCCGCAGCTCCTGCACACAGCAAGATGAGAGTCGAATCGCGACGCGCGAGTGCGCTACCTGCTCCACTTCGTCGAGCTGCAACCGAAGGTTGTCAATGTCATCGTCGATAAAGTCGCCGTCAGACGCCGGCGCGAAGCTATACCGAGGCGTGAGCGATGTGAACGTGCCGTCCAGCCTACCATGCAGACACATGCATGATGTATGATATCCTACAACCTTCTTCCTTTACCCGACGTAGGTTTTCTCTTCTGTCTGATTGTCCATGCTGTGACCGCGGCGGCGCTCAATGCGTACCCCCAAAACTGCGCCCGATCTCACACAGGACTGCGAGATCCACGACAAAGTCAAGCATGATATCATGGTTGATGTCGTCCGTTCGAAGTTAATATCGATGCATTCATGTACTAGTAGTACTTATTATTAGTAGTTATCGATAATACACTTGTGGTGAGCCATGTCGCAGGGTCGTTTCAGACGTAGTACTACTAGAATGTGTAATAGTTGTAATCTGGCACTTGAAAAGTACTAGTCACGCATGAATTGGTACTACTAATTAATTATATGTATTTGCAAGGATCGATTCTTCGCACTTGGGGAGAAATCGACTGCAGCGACGGCGGCCTACAGAGTCTGTAGCGGTATTAGAAGGCTGATTCTGTGCCCGTTCATGCCATGTGATGACGAGTGGAGGGATGCAGCGACGCGTTGTCACGCAGTATCGTAAGATATCCGTATAAACTTGCATAATTATCCGGTGGATCTAGGTTCTATTTATTAGACTTGATGTTTGCAAGAGGAATTGAATCGAGGGTATTTTATTTGACACGTACTTGGTGTCCATGCATTTTAACCGTTCGAATGCGGCAACATTTTTGATCCATTCGTCCTACGAAAATGCCGCCAAAGAAGAAGGAAGAAGTAGGTTGATGTGATGCCTCGACGCGATGCGCCCAATGCCGAGTGCTAATGAATAAACGTGGTTTGTTCTGTAGGCCCCCAAGGTGTACCTCGGCCGTCCCACGAACAACGTGAAGATTGGTATCGTTGGCTTGCCTAACGTTGGCAAGTCCACGTTCTTCAACACGGTGTCCAAGCTGAACATTCCCGCGGAAAACTTTCCTTTTTGCACGATTGAGCCAAACCAGGCCATGATCCCAGTACCCGATCAGCGCTTCACGTGGTTGTGCGAAAAGTACAAGCCCGCGTCGGAAGTCCCGCCTGTCCTTGCGATCACGGATATCGCCGGGTTGGTCAAGGGTGCCGCCGAAGGCGCCGGTCTCGGTAATGCCTTTTTGTCGCACATTCAAGCTGTTGATGCAATCTACCACATGGTTCGCGCTTTCGACTCGAAGGACGTGACTCACGTCGAAGGCAACGTCGACCCCGTGCGCGACATGGAAATCATCTTGCACGAGCTCCGCCTTAAGGATATTGACCGCGTGAGCAAGCAAGCCGAAGGCATGCGCAAAAATGTCGAACGCGGTCTCGGTGGCAAGGAGAAGAAGATGGAGTACGAAGCGTTATTGAAGGCATTGGAGTGGCTCCAATCCGGGAAGGACATCTCGTTCGGCCAGTGGAGTGCTTTTGAAGTGGACATCTTGAATACGTTGCAGCTCTTGACTGCCAAGCCTGTCGTGTTCCTTGTGAACGTAAGCAAGAAAGACTACCTCCGCAAGGGCAACAAGTACCTCCCTGCTATCGCCGAATTTGTCGCGGCGCGTGGCGGTAACGAGACGGTCTTGCCCATCTCGTGCGAATTTGAAATGGAAATGGTTGACTTGGACATTTCCGGCCAAGGCGATGCCTACCGCGAGGCGAACCCGACGCACAAGAGCGTGCTGAACCGAGTCATCCGTCTCGGGTATCACGCGCTTGGACTCATTCACTTTTTCACGGCCGGTAAAGACGAAGTCCGTGGGTGGACGTTGCGTAAGGGACGCAAGGCGCCTCAGGCTGCCGGTGTTATCCATTCGGATTTCGAAAAGGGATTCATCATGGCGGAAGTCCAGTCCTTTGCCGACCTCAAAGAATGTACGACTGCGATCTGTGCTGACGGAGAAGTTGAGTTTTCGTGCTTCTTGTAGATGGATCGGAAGAAGCGGTGAAGAAGGCGGGCAAGTTGAAGCAACAGGGCAAGAACTACGAAGTATGTTGGCCAAATCCATTGGGCACGCGCCAGCATCGTTTATGGAGATTGACTCGTCCTCGTGGTTGCGTAGATCGAAGACGGCGACATCATTTTCTTCAAGTTCAACAACTAAGCAACAGCTCTCGAGTTGCTCTCGAACGCATCTCTCCATTTTATTTTGTTGCAAGCAATGTCCCGTTGAAATATTATTCCAATATTCGGCGAATTCGCTTGGTTCTTATTCGTGTCAATGTGATTTTACACGTTTTTTGAAAGTTTGGCTGCTCATGTGCTAGCCGACAGAATGCATACTCAGATAAAAATTGGTATGTCAATACATAGTAGCATATATTTAATCATACTTGCTACAGTATTTCAAGAAGATGTAGGCTGTCTACATTATCCAAAACATAGTACTACTAGTAATTATAACGCAAGCCAAAATATTACTAGTAGGATTTGAAGTGTACGGTGAATATACAAAAGTGTCCCTTAATTGATTACTACGTAGTATATCCAAAAACAATCCTATTTTCGGAATTTTCAATGAACGATATTCGTTGTATTACAGTAACAGACTACTAGTATTCGGGCTACAAAACAAGTCAACGAAGCTTAACGTGAGCAGAAAACCTGCGTTAAACGCAGAATAACTCCTGCAGCGGAGCATTTTATCCGGAAATCACCGGATACTGTCCTCCAATCATTTCCATGGTCGGGTTTCAAATTGGTGCCAAAGGAAAGATGGGAGGAAAACGGAGGCGCAATACGGGCGAAGCGGCGAAGAAGCGCTTCAAGTTGGAGAAAGAAAACGACGGTGGTGCGCCAAAGGAGGACCCTGTGGGAGAAAAGGCAGCCGTGACGGGAAACCACAACGACACAGAGAACAAACCTCCGGCAGAGTTGATCCAAGAAGCCAAGTACTATCTGGAATCGTACCGCAACAGAGACAAGCCTCGGACCGCGGACGAACCCGAGTGGCGATTCAAGAAGGCCAAGCAAGTGTGGATCCTGCGTTGGATGTACCGTGCCGACGTGGTCAACAAAGCACTTTTTACCATTGTACTCGAGTACTTGGAAGGCATGCAAGGCACTGCACGCGAGCGTGTGCTTCGCGATGCCCAGCAAGTCGTGGAAGAACTCAGCAAACTGGAAAAGGTTGACGAAAAGGACCAAACGCTGCAGCAAAAGCTTGAACGGAGAAAGCTTAAGCGGGCGTTCCAAGTGGCCAAGATCCTAGCTTAAGTCGTAACCTCCGATATCCTCGATTGGTCTCTATGTTTACACCACCAAACTAGCTCTATTCGGTGCGCATGCGATCGCTTAGCTCCACATATTCAGGTCTTCCTCGCGGTTCACAGGTGTGTACCAAGGTGGGTACTCCATGTTGGGATTGTACCTAGTGAAATCGTCGCACCCTCCAACACTTGGGGCAATTGGGCCTGGTGGACTTACCGATAGTTCAAAAACACTTCTTCATCCTCGATGTCGGTCAGCGCTACCAGCACCAGACTCTGCTTATGCAGTCAGTTCTTCGTCATGACGTCTTCTATCGATAACGTCACGACGTACATGAACGAGCGCGCGTTTGCCGAACATGGCCAGCATCGACGGCGGGTGGACAAAGTGATTTGGGATGAGGGAATGGTACGGCTCCGATTGAAACGGGTCTACAGGCCATTCAGGTCCTAGTCGTTACATCGAGACCAGCGATGCTCACCCTCCGGGGGGAAGTCGAATGCCATCGGGATAACGTTGGGCAAGGTGTCTTGTGGAGGGTGGTTCACCATCTGCGCCAGTGCCAACGGGTTGGTGTGCGGGACGGCTAGCACCATGTTACTTTCGACGATAAAAACGGTGAAGGTACCTTCGTTTGTGGCGTCGATGATGGCGCCGTCGAATCGAGCGCGGGCAAACGGATTGTTCGACACAACATGCATGTATTTCTAACCACGTCGGTAAGTTGTCGATAGCACGGTCGCATCAAACGCCAACCTTGCGGTAGTGCTCGGACAGGTATACCGTGCCGGGGTAAAGGGCCTAGTCATCACTATAGTCAGGCGGAACTTGAGCGTAAACAAGTCGTACAATGGCCGTCCCAGCCGTCGCCCGCCCTTCTACAAAGAGCCCACGGCCAGCTCCAGGGATCGTCGAGTCTCGAACTTGCAGCGAATAGCCGAGTTCCCGTCGAACAATGTCATCGATGGTCTGCATGTTGGACGTTGGTCGGGGTGATACTTGGAAGGAGGGGGCATCCAAACCTACCTCTTTCGTTTTCGATGGAATCGCCGATGGCAAGTCTTCATTAATGGAAAACACGCTCGGTTTGTACTTGACGTTGGCTTTGCCCCGCGCCAGTACGTCAAATGCACGTTCAATCTGACTAGTTAACGCCGACTGCGCCAATTTCTTGTGCTCTTCAAACGGTTTGGTTTCCATGTGCGTCACTGCTTCTTCGAATAGCGCACCCTTTTCTCTAAGAGAATCACCCATGCAATGGACTGGATGCACCCAAGCTAGCGGACGTACTCTGCCGTCACGTTTGGCGCTGCGTCTTGCAGATTTTTGAAATGTGTCAACATCGCCACCGTCGCAACGTCCATTTGCTCCTACAAGCATGCCATCCACAAACATAAACAGTTTGATCGATGGTGTTCGTTCAGTTCACCTGGAATCGGCGGCCCGCTGTCGTCCCAGAGAGCGCATACTGAATGCGCTGGAAGACGGACACCATGGTCAATACGAACTTTCGTATCTGGCCCGGTTTGCCCAAAAAATAGACCAATCATAACGACTTTTCGTTCTTATTTTAATCCAATCAAGCTATATCTCAATAAATACCAATGAAATCATGCCATGTCCGAAAAGGAACTGTTTATATCTAATGAAATGACGCTATTCAACGATTGCGATTTTCTATTGGCTATAATTTCGTCAAATCCACATCCGCCGTATATTTTTGTCGCGTCGCCAGTCCCTCGCGGTGTTTCACTTTTCTGCATTTAGGAGAATAAAACAGCCAAAGCATCCAAGATGAGCATTGCCACCGACGCCCTGTTCAATCAAGGTAGGGATGCGTGCTGGATGGTGCTGTGAGGGTCGTCAAGATGCTCGCCGAGAAGGGCAGTGACGTAAATGTATCCTAGTCTTGTGCCGTGCCCTCGTTGTTGTTTAAGGTGGATGATCGTGTACGTGTGTAGGTTGGGGTGACATCTTGACCAACATCTCTCCCTACGCTTGGGGTAGTTTGGGTATTGCCGTGGGCCTTGGTTTCTCTGTGGTCGGCGCCGCTTGGTATGTCCACGTTACCTTCGATGGGTCGGACCTTACTGTGATATAGGGGGATCTTCCTGACTGGGTCGTCACTGCTCGGGGCATCCGTCAAGGCCCCTCGGATCCGAACGAAGAATTTGGTGTCGATCATTTTCTGTGAAGCGACCGCGATCTACGGGGTCATCATTTCGATCATTTTACTCAACAAGATGGACGTGCCAGCCGTGCGACTGCCGACGGACCCCGTCTTGAGCATGGACCAAATGTTCTTTGCAGGGTACGCCGTGTTTGGGTCGGGTCTGGCCGTCGGCTTGACCAACATTGCGAGCGGGGTGTCTGTGGGTATTGCCGGCAGCAGTTGCGCGCTCGCGGATGCGCAGAACGCCGCTTTGTACGTGAAGATTCTCATTGTCGAGATTTTCGCCAGTGCGTTGGGGATTTTCGGCGTCATCGTGGGCATCATTGTGTCGAACAACGCAGCCTTTCCCAAGTAGACGTGCCGCCCACCCGACATTGCCACTACTTCTGAAAACGCACGCGCTGCATGGCACAACGTCGCCGTGTGCTAAATCGATGAATTGAATGGCCTTTTACATGTGTGCTATCATCTGTCGCGTTGAAAAGTGAATCCATGCCCGTCGTGGAGCGGCGCGGGGGTGTCGTCCACCGCCGCTCCCGCCTCAAACTTGATTGCCTTGAGCATGTCGTCAACCTTGTGCTTTGCCTGGAAGGTCTGCATCACGTTCGGGAACAGCTTGATGAGTCCCGATTCGTTCTTGTCAAAGTAGGACGCCATCTACGCACAGTCGAGCATGACGGCGACGAGAGCAAGGACGCCCCCACCTCCATGTATTGCGCGAGATGCATCGTGTGCCACGCAGAAGGCAATCGAGTCGCCGTCGACGCCAGCCGCGTAAAGACTTGAACAAACACCGAGCGCGGCACGCAGTCGTGCCGCCCCGTCGACTCCAACGCCACGTCCTTGAACGTCGCCACGAGCGCGTTGAGCTGGGTGGTGGAAAGGTACAGTCTATCGAGGTATTCGACAACGGGGTATGGAGGCACGGGCGGCGGCGCCATGATGCGAGAGCTCTTGGACAGACGCACATCTGTGTCTTCGCGCTCCTGGCGGTGGGGCGGGTACCGATCCACGACGGTGGTCTGGTCGAACCGACAGGGTCAGCAACAATTCATCAAGGCTCGCGACGATCGATGGCAATTCATGTCGAGCACATTTCAAAACGTACATGAACAACCAAGCGGTGCGGCAGCGCGACGTGCATTTCGATGGCGTGTCGAACTCCTACAATCAAACTCTGGACGGCCCCACGCTCCCGCGCCAGCCTGGACACGAGCACTTGTTGTAAGTCGGCCTCCAACGCCACCACCCCCCCGTGGATTTTGCCGAGAGTCGCCTCTGTCATCGTTGCAATGGCTTGAATCCGAGCTTGCACCAACGCAAGCTCGAACACAAGCGCTCGGATAGCGTTGACACTCCCCAGAGTCTCTTTGTACGCAGGGGGAAGTCCCCCGCCACTTTTGTCGTGGTGCAAGTCGGCTTTACTCTTCGAGGTATGGGCCTTGGCTTCTTTGGTCGGCGCCTGTGCCGGCGCGGCGGGTGTTCCGGCATCGGGCGCTTTCTCGTCCGCCTTGACAAATCGCCCGGCTAGTTTTTTGCAAACGTCGATGGCTTTTTGCACTAGAACCGTCAAGTCGTGTTCGGGAGTCGGCGGTGCCTCTGCATCGGCAGCAACGACCGCCGCGGTCGCCGCGACCCCCTTCTTTGGAGCTTTCTTGGCCTCTTTTTCATCTTCGGCATGTGGGTCCTTGACCAAGAGAATGGGTGGCAGCAATGCGCTCGACGGGTCGGTGGCGTCTCCGTCCACTAGCTTGCCCAATCCAAGTTCATGGCCTTGAATGGCGTCGACGAGAATCGCCACGGATGCGAAAAACCGATCAACTTCGGCTTGAAGGCATATTTGCCCGAGGAGCACCACCGACTGGCTCAACACGTCCTTCCATCCGTCAGCTTGTAACATCCGGCCCAGTTCCATCGCTGTCTCCGCCCCCTTCGTCTCGATCAATGACAACAGGGTGTCCTGGAGGGTGTCCGTGCGGACGTGGAGCTCGGCCTGCGTTGCCGGATCGAACCGCATATCTTCAATCACAGCATTGAAGTCCGCTTGGAACTCATCCACGAGGGACTGCCGCGCGTCGACTCGGCGAACGAACGCACAGAACGAAGACACGACTTGGACACAATGGGATGACGCCAGGTCGCGCATGCGACGAAATCGTGCAAAGCACCGCTGCAGCACGGACTCATACGTTCGCTCTGTCGTCGCCCATAGCGATGCCACGTACTCGGCAAGCGATTGCACAGGGGCGACGCAAGGCGGAGCCATGGCAACCGTCGGAGGGCGTCCAAACTTTGCGAGAAATGCCGTGGCTGCGGAAACGGCATGGTCGACGGCGGTTTTGGCGGCGTCGGCGGCGGCTTTCAGTGCCGCCAGTTCATCTTTTTTCGCCTTGGCGTCTTCCGCTGCCTTGACGGCGGCCGTCGCTGCCGCATCGTCCGCTTGGGCAGCGATGATTGCAGCGTCCAGGGTGACCAACTGCCTCGTCCGAAACTCTTCCGCGCCAAGCGCCATGGCTGCTGCCGACTCGACGGCCCGCTCGGCTTGATGTTTAGCGGCAGCGGCATCTGCGAGGAAATGGTCCACGTGATCGAAGATAGTGGACGCGATGTCTGCGCACTTGCTGTCGACATGGCGAAGAGCGTCATACTGGCGAAACCACGCCAGGACGTCTGCGTCGGTCGAGTCATGGCTTTGAGCGTGCAAGGACAAGTTCTCCGGCGCGATGATGCCGTCGCTCCATAGCTGGAGACGGTACCGCACGGTCGAGTCCTCGGGTGGCGGATTGGATCGAATGTGAAACTGCGCATGGGTGACAGGGTCAATGAGTTTGCCGAGGCAATGCCGATACAACATCGTGCGCTGAATCGGTAGCATGAACACCATGTCGAGCCCCGACTTGCCTTGGAAGAATGTCGACGGCAGCGGCGGGTCCGGCTGTCCCGGCGCCAACAGCGACTCGCGGTCGGCCGGCGTCCGCGGCAACTCCCCCGGCACCACTCCACCAAGGAGCCGTACAAGATCCCTCGCTTCATCGACGTCGCAAACAAAGTCCTCCAGGACCCACCCTTGCACGGGTGGATGCACTTTTCCGAGGGCCACCAATGCCTCGTGCAAGAGCCCTATATACACGTCGTTGGGGACGGCTAGCCCATCTTGCAACAACGTCGTCGCGCGCCGGCCGAGTTCTGTCTCTTGAGCGATCGCCGCCTCGAGCAACGAGTGAACGGACAGCGATGCGAGGTTGTACGCGGCGCACAATCGTTTGCTGAGTGTTTTACGTCCGGAGAACGGCTTCCCGAGCAGCACAATCTTGAGTGAAAACGACGGTAGATCGGGCTTTGGCGGCGGAAGCGGGAGGGGGTCCGTCAGCACACGTGCGTACTTGACGATCTCGCCAAGGACATGCGGCGCAGCGAGATGGCCACAGCTAAAAGGTGGCGCGCCCGCAAGTGACAGGGCCAAGCTGTCTGGGGGCGTCGACGCGACGGATGCGATCGCTGTCATTCGTGTGCCCTCCACATGCTGCAAGTATTCGTGGCCATCCAATCTCGCATGAAAGGCGGCACCGTGCCATTGCGCAAACTCAGTGTCCGTCGCGTGGACAAAGAACGCTTTGTACTCGTCCCATGCCACGTCGGGAAGGAACTCGTCCGGTGGCGCAATCCACGTCGAAGTCTACGATTGAAGTTGAGTACGCTATCGATTCGGTCGCATGCATGGGCGATACCGTGCGGTACGTGGCAGCTTCATGCACGACGTCGAGGACCCGATCGAGCACTTGGGCACACAACACGTGATGCTGTTTGGACGTCGCTGCGATGACTGCCAGAGACAGCCGATCGTACCGCTCGTTCTGCGCCAACACGGCGTCGGTATATCGATGGTGGATCATGCCGTAGGCGGATGCATCGCGCGTGATCGCTTCGAGCTCATCGCGCTTGCGCCGCTTGGCGTACTTGCTTTCTCGGTACTCTCGATTCGCCACGACCACGTCCATGTAGGTCAGGACGTTGCGACGAGTGGATTCCACGGCCAACTCGGACGTTGTCGACCGAAGCAAGGTCGCTTCGAGGCGATTCAAGTCCAGTTTCTCGGAGCGCTGGCGTTGGCGGGTGTCGCAAAGTTTGACGAACTTGGCGCGACGTTTACCTGCTAGGTCGCATCGAACTTCTCGTTGGAGTCGTTTCTGGCGCGCCAAGTCGACGTGGAGCTGCTTCTCCGCCGGCATGCCTGTATCGCCGTCGCCGTTTTTGAAAAGCACTTGATTCAATGGGTGGTCCGGAACATCCACGTCGATTTTAGCGTACACGGACGACAGCGACCGAATGCCATAGCCGATCGAAATTTGTTTGGGCATTCGCTTGGATATTCCTCTTCGCTTTGGCGCACCATCGTCGATGTTGCCAGGATGAGCCTTGTGTGAAAATTCATGAAGCATCACGCGTGGGCAACGCATCCTACCGCCTCAAAGGTGTTGATTCCGGTGTCCACTTGCGTCCGAGCCGACTCTTCATCGCGGGCCTAACTCCATAAACAGGTTGAGAACGAACGAGATGAACTACCAAGAGATAAACGGCTAACACGTACTCGCTTGGATGCTTGCCTCTGGGCGACGAAGTTGTCGTAGCGGGCTTTGCGATGCTCGCGTTCCATGCGCTTTGCTTGAGCGGCTGTCCACGCTTCCGTCTCGCCCTCACTCGCACTCTGGAGTGCAAACGATCAGCAAACAAGATCTCTGCACGACAAGCGATGAACCTGAGTGAATTCGCGCTGTATCTTGGTCAAGTGGAGCCGTTGCTGCCGAGTTGCAACCAGCTCATCGATGTAGTCGGCTTTGGCTTGAGCTATCGCGGCGGCGTTTGCGGTTTGGGACTCTTTAGCCGCTCTATGCCATTGTGGGCAACGGCTTCGCTGAATTGAAACAAGTCACGAAGTACGTACTTTTCCTGCGCCAGGACCTCGACAGCTTTGACGTGGACGCGAATGGTGTGCTCGAAGGACCTGTGCTGCCCTTGGTCATACGCATGTTTTGGCAAGCGGGACGGGATGTTGTGAATTGGGAGCACGCCTCCGGCGACGTGTGGTCGGTTTGATATCGTGCCGGACCGTCGTACACGCTCTACAGCCGTCTAGAATCCCAGAGACTCTCGTGACGATCGCTCCAAGCGCAAAAGAAAGCATATCGCCCAACCTTGATTTGGTACAAGAGTTTGGCGGCCACCCCTGCTTGCTGGTTCATCACATTCGTGGCCGTGACTGCATCAAACTTGATGCCGAGACTTCGCATCGTTGGCTCGAGCAGAGAAAAGTTGACGATCTTGGCGTCGGCTGTCTCGCTGGGGACAAAGTCGGAAAAGTTGTGCTGCTGGTTACTTCGATGCAAGATCTCGCCAAGCAAGTACCCACTGGCAAAGTCGCTCTCGAAGCACTCGACGTGCTGCGATAGCTGCACGTCTTCATTGAGCCACTTGAGGAGTAGGCTCGACATGTCGCCGACTCGCCCGCTTCCGCTCCGTCGACGTGACCGTCCGCGACGTGACCTTTCACCGAATGGTGCCGTTTCATGCGTCAAGAAACGGTGAGATGCCAATACGCTTGTTTTGCTGTCGATTTCTTCAACTTGCCTGTATTCATTTTAGTTATTCCTTCGGGGTGCGACTTTTTTGCATGCCTATTTGAAAATAAAGTGTATGGTCGTTTATATTTTGAGATACAAGAACACTACCTAGGCTCTTGCGATGCAGATTCGAGAGCGGACCAATCAAACGGCGTCGGTCGGTTTGTTGGACGAGCTGCACTTTGCACACGTTATTGCAACCATGTTCCTTCGTCGCGCGGCGGCGTCGTCGCTTGCCTTTGGCCGCACTCGTGTGCATGCGTCGCCACGATTCTTCTCTCCAGCTGCTACCCAGCACTGCATGAACATGAGCACACTGCCGCGCAATGACCGCATTCGCAACGTTGCGATCGTTGCCCACGTCGATCACGGCAAAACGACACTCGTCGACCAATTGCTCAAACACGGCGGAAACATGCTGAGCGAGGACCGAGTCATGGACAGTATTGATTTGGAGCGAGAACGTGGTATCACGATCATGTCCAAGTGCACGCGCGTCGAGTACGAAGGACGCGTGCTCAACATTGTCGACACGCCCGGCCACGCTGACTTTGGCGGCGAAGTCGAGCGCATCTTGAGCATGGTGGACGGCGTCGTGCTCGTCGTAGACGCGACGGAAGGCCCGATGTCCCAAACCAAGTTTGTGTTGACCAAAGCCTTGAACCGTGGGCTCAAGCCACTGGTTGTCATCAACAAGGTCGATCGCCCAACCAGTCGGTTGGGGGGCGAAGTCGAGAACGAGCTTTTCGACATGTTTGTCGCGCTGGATGCGAACGACGAGCAGCTCGAATTCCCCGTCTTGTACGCATCAGCCAAGCAAGGATGGGCAGTGAACTCTCTCGAAGACGAAGGCGAAGACCGCACGTCCATGAAGGCGCTGCTCGACCAAATCGTCGAGTACGTCCCGGCACCAGAAGCCGATATGGACTCGCCGTTTTCCATGGCCGTGACCATGTTGGGGTAAGTTTTTTCACCGCTCGGAATGATCGCGATGACTTCTTTCTCCAGCCATGATCCGTACGTCGGTCGGTTGGCCACTGGCCGAGTGTACACGGGTCGCGTCAAGGTCGGCGATGCCATCCACGTGGTGAACCGCGATGGCCAAAAACTCGAATCTGGCAAAGTGACCAAGATGTTTGTCACCCGTGGCACGACCAAGTCGGAAATCTCGGAGGCCGAAGCTGGTACGATTCGTGGCGTCGTTGGGCGGGTGTTTATGCCATCGCAGGCGATATCATTACGGTGGCCGGTGCCAACGCTTACGTATCGGACACGATCGCAAACCCTGAAGTCGTGCGGTCGATTCCGTCGCCGCAACTGGACCCGCCGACCATTTCCATGACGTTTGGCGTGAATGACAGTCCCATTGCGGGGAAGGAAGGCAAGTTTTTGACGTCGGGACACATCAAGGAGCGGCTCATGCGCGAAACGGAGGTACGAGTGTTTTCGTGCGAAATAACCGAGACGTCACGGATGTAGAACAACGTGGCGATTTCAGTCACGGCCAGCGAAACCTCGGAAGCATTCAACGTCCACGGTCGCGGCGAATTGCAACTCGCCATCTTGATCGAAGAAATGCGCCGCGAAGGGTACGCTCGAGCACGTTTGTCCCAAGCAACGTCATGCTGATGATGGTGGCGATAGGTTTGAGATGTGCGTGTCGGCGCCCCGCGTCCTGTTCAAGCACGATCCCGAAACCAACAACAAGCTCGAACCTGTCGAAGAAGTCACGGTCGACGTCGATCAAGACTTTTCCGGCATCGTCATCGACAAGCTCAGCACACGCGGCGGCGAGTTGGTCGAATTCAAGGATATCCAAGTACAACGGCACGACATCCTGGGGGCTTGGCTCTCATGCGCTGGTGTGTAGGACAAAGTCCGCCTGCTCTTCCGTATTCCAAGTCGCTGCTTGATGGGGTATCGCAGTGAGGTACGCATGCACATCATATTGCATGGAAACGTGCGATCTCTTTCGCCGTCGTGTGTAGATTAAGACAGACACCCGCGGCAGCGGCATCCTCAACTCGATCTTCTACGGGTACGAAAAGTTTCAAGGGCAAGCGTCGGTCCCGTCCAAGGGCAAGTTGATTGCGTCGTGCAACGGAAAGACCACGGTACGACATCCTTGCGGCCGTGAGGGGTTGACCTCGTCTAGACGTATGCGCTCAACATGCTCGAAGAACGCGGCGAGTTGTTTGTGAAGCCCGGCGAGGACGTGAGTACAACTCGTGGCGTGTTTGATGGCTCACGCCGCGCGCGCGCTTTCGTGTAGGTGTACACGGGCATGGTCATTGGCGAGCATTCCCGACCCACCGATTTGGAAGTCAACCCGACCAAAGAAAAGAAGCTCACCAACATGCGTGCCGCTGGCAACGTATGCCTTTGTCCTGTCCGTCCGCCCTCATGCCATCGCGTAGGACGAGAACGTGCGGCTGTCGCCAGCCCGACAAATGTCCCTCGAAGATGTCGTCACGTACATTGGCGAAGACGAAATGATTGACGTGTCGCCGTCCCAGATTCGCATTCGGTACATGTGCCTCATGCGCTCGGTCGTTCGTGACAACGATCCATGTCCTCTTACAATGGCCATTGTAGCAAGCGCTTCTTGGACCCGAATGCCCGCAAGCGCGCCAAGTAAACAACGTGCGGGGAACAACCCTATTAGAGTAACAATACAGAGCTGGAACCGGTGAGGTCTCGTCCATGTGGTTGTGACCGGTAGCCCGCTTCGATTCCCGGACAGCGTTGCTGCGACGTGATGGCGGCGCGACATTTTTTCCGACCTTTGTGGCATTCCCGTTGCGACGTTGTCGCGATCGAATTGCTAGAGATGCCGCTTCTGGATGGATGCCTGCATCTACGCTAGCGTCATTCCAGCGTCGCCAATTCAATGCTGTGCGCGGATGACTTGCGCCGCTCGTTGTTGGCCGCCGTCTTTGCAGGCGAGGTTGCTGTGGCAGGGATGGGAATGACTTTGCCGTCACGGATGATAAAGTTGGACTCGACAGTCGTGTTGCGCCTGGAAAGGACCACAACGCGCCGTGCAGGCTCCGGGGGGAACGTGTATTTTTGCATCGACTTGGCCGACGACGGCGGGGGCATCGACGGCACTGACGGCGTCGTCATGGACTGTCGGCGCGCCGCCAACGATTCGCGCCGACACCGCCGCTGCATTTGCTTGGTCTTGTTGTAGTTGACTACACAGTGTGATACAGGCCATCTTTTGATGCAAGGTTGAAAGGGTCGTACATAAGATCACGTGGGCAAACATGAGGCTCTTCCGCTCGGCGTCCGAGTACTTCTGTGCGTCCTTGACGTGGAAGAAGTAGTACACGGTCGCCAGGCTGACAAGGACACCAATGACAAGCGCAGTAGTCTTGCCGTTGGGGGCAAGGCACAGCAGCGACACAAACGATCCGAGCCACACGACGAATGCCGCAACTGCACGCGCGACGTTCCACAAGCTTCGGAGCGAGTCGGACAAGTGCTTGAACATGCGGTGGAGATAGAGGAATCCAAGGCACTGAGCCATTTGACGAAAGAGAGCACACGCGATGGCGAGGTCTAACGGGCGAAACGAAGGCACGAACGACGCGAACGTGGCAAACGTGATTGAAGCCACACCACACACGAGCAGCGCCAACACGGGTGCGCGATGGAGAAGCATTCGATTGCGGAGACACCGAAAGACGAGGCGCGAAGCTGCCATGCCAAGGAGTACGCGAGAGGCGCTCAATAGCCACGATAACACGAGCAGGGCGGCTGGAAAGATGGTAAGCATGGCGTCCATACCTGGGGGAGTGCTGGGGGGGATCGGGGAGTATGCAATGGCAAAGGCCAGGCCGGCGATAGCGGATACTGACACGACAGCGAGGGTGCCCGATTTGATTTGTGGAACGACACATTGGGAGTCATCGACGTCGTCGCAGCACAGATGGAGGCTGTCAACTCCGATGAAATGCCAGCACATGTGTGGAAGTAGTCGAACCACGTCGATGAACCTCGGGGGCGTCAGTGGGGCCGCCATCAGCGCAGAGGATCTTGATGTTGTAACCACAAAGAGAAGTAGAGCTCCCATGACAGGCACCACGGCAAGGCCTCCCACAAGGAAAATGCGGATTCCAACAGCGGGAGGGGCAGTGTGCACACCAACAGCGAGACACGTCAGAGTAAGCCACAACATCAATTGCAACGTAAACGTCGACATGGTCGATGTCATCACAACGATCTGAGTGACCAAGTTGGAAAAGAGAAGCATTGCATGCGTCATCTGCATTGTATACTCGAGCCATTCGGTGGTTGCGACAAGGAATCCAGTGTAGAACCCGAGGGACACCCGTGCAAGTCCGTACGCGCCGCCGGAGAACTGGATGACTTGGAAGATGGCATTCGAGCACGTGTTCATGCACCAATACGTGCCGACGACGATACCAAGACCGAGGATGTGGCTGCCTTCGTGGCCGACCGAGGAAGGGTCGTGCCACCCAAAAAAGTGCGTGCTCCATATCGACGACAGCGCGATCGAGAAGAGCTGCCATCGACCAAGAGCAGCACAACGCGAGCGTGGGGGCATTTTCCTGTCTGGCGGCGCCGAGATGTCCGCTGCTTGAGTATGTACCATCCTGCATGGAGCAGCTCCAAGTGCAGCGATTCCCACGTCTCGTGGCGTTTCACAACCGACACGGTTTCAAAGAATGCATGCACCACGTCCACCACATCACCGCGCGCTTTGCGCTCCCTCTTGCCATGGGCGACGGCAAATCCTGAAGGCCTCGTAGTAGACGCTGTGGCTCTAGCGCAAAAAACGGCTCGAGTTGCCATGTCGTCTCCGAGGACGTGCCATCCCCGCATACGGTGAGGCATCCAACGCGATGCCAACCTGCAATGTGGTTGGTGGAATCTGGGGATTCATCAGCCAATCATAGATGCCCACAGGTCCATTTATCCGGATGACACTCCACTTTCAGATTGGCATCGATGTGGTAAGGCCGCACGACTCCACCGGGCGGAGTTGTCGTTCAAGCGCTAACGATGTGCGGTAGGATCTTTGGGTGTAAGTACATGCTTGTATCACCCGCTCGTGACGTGAACTGACCTGTCTTGGCCATCGGCGTGTACAGACGGCTCGATTGGTACGGACGTGGCAAGATCGAGATCACGTTGTTGCGGCTCATGTGCAAGTGTAGTGTGGAAGACCGACTTTCCCGTCGAAGATTCGTTCTTTGGATATGTGGACGGATGGCACCGTCGGTTCTGGCAAGGTAGCCCGGACCACCGCGGTGTGCCGGGTGCATTGGGGCGCGTTGTGACCCTCATTAGCGCGGAAGACTTGAAGCAGTTCCGTGACGTGGATCCGCATGCGTCAGAGGTTCCTCGAACATGGGGGCGCATTTATCGAGTCCCGAAGGAGGAAGTGCCTGAAATCCTGGCCCAGCTCGACCATCGCGAAAAGGTTCGACCTCGGGCCTTTCGCGTACATGACAAGGCTCTGCTAGGCTGGCTACGATCGGGCTGAAGTCGACGTCCATTGTACGGACAATCAAATTCGCCGAGCCCTTGTGTTCATTGCGCTTCCTGGGAATTCAGACTTTCTTGGCCCTGCACCCTTGGCCGAGCTGGCGCACGAAGTACTGTGAACTTGTCAGGTCGATGCCAATTTCACGTCACGGGCGACATCTAGATTGCGACGCGAGTGGGTCCCAGCGGCCCCAACGTAGAGTATTTTCTCAACCTCTGTCGATGGTACGAACATGTGAGATGCCGACGTCCTGACGATGCGGTGGGTGTAGCATGCGCAGCATTGATGTCCACGACAAGCATTTGTTGGACTTGGAGCAGCTCGTGCTCGAGCACTACGCGCCACATGCAGTAGCGTAGCTCTTGCCAAGAAGATGCATTCGTTCATGTCGAGTTAACATGTAGAGTGATTTGTCTTGTCATTGGGTCGTCCATCCTTCTGGGCTGGCGAGGGCCGATTGAGTGCTTTGGGATATTCCAGCGTGATGGCGTCTGCCGTGATACTCATGATGGTTTCACCTTTGAGGCCGTCAAAGAGCCCCGGGATGAGTCCGCGCTGCAGCCTCGTGAGCTTGACAATTTTTGTGTAGAACCCTTTCTGCAAAAGCATGGAACATGTTGCCTCAGTCAGAGCATCTCCATGTGAGGGTGATCGTACCGCCCGCAAGTGACGTCGCACGTGGCGCTGGATCATCGTCGCTGCCACGACTCGTTCCCCGTCGGTCGCGCGGCGTTTGCACTCCTGCATCGTGTCATACAAGACGACAGATATGTCCTCGGTACGCTGGAGCAACCCCTCGAACTGCGCGAGATTTCGCGGATGAAATGGTGGCAAGAGGTGCGATTCCGCTTGAATCAAGTGCGCCACATGCACCTTCATGCGCCGGACGAGTGGGGCCAAGTGTTTTCGAATGGCCAGGCGCCATGACTGCGGAATGATCATGGCCTAAATCCCCCGCACCACATTCTTTGAGACGTTTCTAGACAAGTCACATGGCGGCAGACGTACTTCAGTCCACACCACCAAGTCGGCCATTTCACATTCGAGCTCGTACGCGAGAAAGTATGCTTGCTGGGCTCGGTCGGCCAGCTCGAGCCGTTGCACGGCATCGCGGTGAAGTTTGCTGGGCGAGCGTGAGCCCAACTGACGAAGATGCCGCATGGATGTATCCTGTCGTGCGAAGGTTGTATGCACAGACGTGGTTTCGGTCGTCTCGTGTAAGGGAATGGGGGGGCATGGGTCGTCGGCATGGCTGCCAAACGGGAGTGCCACGTCGCCGTGCGCGGGGTCGTCGCCCATGGAAATTAACTGATCGACCAACATAGCTCACCGTTTCAAGCTGGTTAACTACTGCGTTACGCGATGAGGTTGGCTTTGATTTGAGCCTTGGAGATCTTGGGGCGCGGGATGCGACCGTTGTTGGCACCGAGGTAGTTGCACCACACGAGCGAGTCTTGTTTGTTGACGTTGGGATTGAAGCACGTGGACCAGCCACACGCGATTTCAGTGACGCCAGGGTCGAGCGAGTTTTGAAAGTGGCCGGTCGTGACCCAGTTCCCGTCCTTTGACTGGTTTGTGTCGTAGTCCCAAAGCTCTTCCTCGCTTTCCCACCACGTTTGGGCAGGGCCAGGCACGTGCATGCAGTTGTTGCCGCACTCGGCAAACCCAGCCAAGTTTTGGTTGCCGGCGGGGCCGCCGTGGCCGCCACCGAACCTTTGCGGACAGCTGTCTGCCCACGTTTGCATCTTCACGGCCAAGTCTTGATTCCATCTCACTGGTCCGAGGCCGTGGCCAGCTCGAATGATGGATGTTTGACGGACGATCTGCGCCTTGAGGTCGTTTCCAGTTGGCGGAGGTGGTGGCGTGGGCTGCGAAGGCGATGGTGTACTGGGGGTTGGCGGTGGAGTAGGGGGGGTAGTTGGCTGGACAGGAGGCGGAGTTGGGGCTGCCGTTGGGCGTGGTGGGGCGGGCGTTGGGGAGCTCGTTACAACTGGTGACGTGGTTGGAGGTACTGCAGTAGAAACGGGGGGTGTCGTTTTCACCCCAGCAGACGAAGGTGTGGGGGTCGTCGAGATCGGGTTGTCCAGACTGGTAGTCGATGGGGGCGGTCGGGAGGCATCGATCGAAGAATCGGCAGACTTGGAGTCAGTTTGCTGTTCGCCGTTGCTCAAACTGTCGTCGACACTGCCCGGATTGTTGCCGTGTTCCATGGCGGCGGTCGAGTTGTCTGGGGGCAGAGTCGGGTGTGTGAAGTACGTGGCAATCCCACCAACGATTGTGCCGTTGTTTGTAGAGACGGCGGCATCAGCGGGGACGCTGCCACTTTGGTCGCTGCTGGTGTTGGCATTACCTGCAGCATTGTCTGCTCCCAAGATCACAGCGACCGCCACACCCAGCACGAGAAGAGCACCGGCCGCTATCGCAACGATGCGGGTCTTTCGCCGCCGCTGAAACGCATCAATGTACGCGTTTGTGTTTTTGGCGTCCGATTCTTCCATGATCACGATCTCCGAGTTCCGGAACGTGTCCATGGCGGGTGGCAGGTCCGCAGCGTTGCCATCAGTCTCCGTCGTCGACATGGAGGTATAATGAATTATGCGAGGCCATTCTACACTGACCAGACTGTTCCAGCTTTCTTGCGCGGCGCAAGGAACACGCTGCGGAACCAAATGTGCCTCGGTCGCGTTGTAACATGTGTGAATTGTCTCGTTGCGGCCGAAGGGCTGTACACGCAACGACGATGTATTGTACGTCTGGTGCATAGTACGATGGCCCTAGGCATCCCGATCAAAAGCCACTTGAATGGAACTATCAATCCTAATTAGAGACTTAAAAGGGACAAAAGTGAATCTTGTTCGCTTCTTCCGACTTGTAACCTCTTCATCCACTGAAACCTTGGACCACACCCCGGCCGACCAACCTTTACTCCGCTCGCGATGTCTCCTGGGGGGGGGCAGCAGGTCCCCAAGACATGAACGCTACCTCGCCGCGATCTCGGCTCGACACGTCGGTGGATCGATTCAACGGCTATCCTGATTGATATGGCGAAGTTGCAGCCCCAAGCCCACGAGACTTAAAACCTCGTGGTCGCATGTCTCGTCCAGGCAAGCGAACCACGAAACTATTTGCTGTAGGTTGTCGAGTAGGTAAGTTTATGTGTAGAGTCATGTCGTACCATTACACGCGTATGCGCGAAGTCGATGTGGTGTCCCGCGGGCTTGAAGCACGATGTCTGAAGTGTCGTGCACACCACACAGCTTTCGTAGTAGACTCGCCAACGAAAGGGGGGCGACGTTTTCGTTTCGATGTGCTCACTAGAACGTCCATCTTCCGTTCAGATCCATCCCCCCGGTCCCCTCGAACTCTCCCTTGCCGTCCCCCCGACCACCCCTTTCCTCCATCACCCAACAAGTCAGTCCGTTTATGATTTGAGCTTTTCGTCCTTAACGCATGCCTGCAAACGGGTTAATGTTGATGTCATGCCCTGCCGGCTTCTTCGCCTGAATGCCGTGTTGCCCTTGTATTGGGTTCACCATGGCTGAGATGTTCATGTGTTGCTGGTGGACGCCATGATTGTAAAACTGCTGGGGCTGCTGCTGGAAGTTGTTGTAGGCGGGGTATGGAGGCGCCTGTGGGGAGCCGTAGTGGCCATGGAACTGCTGAGGTGGTTGCGCTGGGTAGCCACGATATGTCGTTTGTGGCTGCGGGGGGACATGTCCTCCCGGTTGCCTAGCGTATGGCAGAGTTACATTGTGATGTTGTTGTTCGCGGGTCGTACTTGGGCTGGTCCAAACTTGCAAACGGATCAAATGCTGGAGGAGGCGGGGCAAATCTACCTCCCAACACTCGTCCTCAGGCCCCAAACCAATTCAATTTGCTTCGACACGAACGCTTACGTTCGTTGCTGTGGTTGTGCTTGCAGCGGTGGCTGGTCATACAAGATGCCGTTCAAGGTGACAGGGGACGCAACTTGTGTGGGGAACCCCAATGAGGTGGGGCCCTAAGCGATTCAGGTCACGCTCCTGTCGTCGAGTAGAGGACAAGCCTTGCCGTCACGAGAGGATCGAACACGACGGAAGGCGCGGGCACGGAGACGACGTCCGGGATCGACGTATCAATCAGGTTGATTTCAGGCGGAGGGGCTGTCTTCTTGGTCGGAATCGCCTTGTCGAGGGGTACGACGGGGGCGTTGTCGTCGTCAATGTCGCTCGCGGGATCGCCCGGTCCCCAGTGGTGGTATCCCCCTGCGTGCAGTAAGATGCCGTCACGAGAAAGCGTACAACAAAAACGCATACCCTGCTGCTTGTGGCCTCCGTTCGTCGCAGGTTGGTACGTGTTGCCGTTGGAGGTGTTGGCAGTCTTCTTGTTGTTGCGGCGAAACACGTCCATCTTGCGGTACGGGACGCGATCGATCAGCATGTCTGAAGGATGCGAGTGAAATCACGACGCAGTCGGTCGTGGAGTACCGTATCGCGGCATGTCGGGGGACTCGAATTCGTTGATGCGCACTTCGATCGCACTGTTTCGGTGCTCCAGCATCAAGATGATGGACCAGTCTCCTGGCGAAATCGCGGCGACGTGGTACTTTTCGCGGCCGTCGTACTCGACCACCTGTGTGTGCGAGTCATGAAGGAGGCGTGGCGCATGGGATCGGCACCTTCTTGGCCGACATGACCGAGTGGAGCAGCACAACCTCGTGCACTTTGTCCGACTCGCCAAACGTAAACTTCCACGACGCACGCTTCTTGGACGATGCAATGTTGCCCCCGACGTTCTCGACCATGTGCCCGACACGTTTGGGAGGGCCATGCTCCAGTGGGTCCACTGGCCCGTTCGCTACAGCCCCATAGTCACACTCGTGCGCCGTTGGGTGAGCGATGGCTGCTCCTCTTGGCACGTACCCGCTATACGCACCACGTCTCCCATGCTCGTCCGAATGAAAAATGCAAAACCGCTTGGTCGTCGCCGTGTGCGAAAAGATTCATTTGTTCTTGCGCGGAAACGGCGAGTGAAACGGATGCACATCAACCCCAACGGTCGGCCCGTCACTCGAGCCCATCATCCAATTCCTTCATCGCCACGATGTGCCCGGTGCGATCTCGTGTGGGGGATTCCGCGGGGCTGCATGGGATATGCGGCTCCCCATCGCCAGAGTTGCGTCTACGTGGACCAAACGAATGGGCCTTCCGACGCCCTGTTGTTGGGCGGGGTCCATGGACGTGTTGAAAATCAACGTGGTCGCGATATACCAAAGCTCAAGTCCATTGTGTTGTTGTTCGCAAACTACGCTCTACATCGCCCGAGGCGTGGTAGTTGTTGTGGCGCTTTTCTCCGCTTGAATCTTCTTCTCCAAGTACGCTTGGGTCTGCTCCCGTGCTTTCCGCGCTTGCAACTGGTCGGTGGCCGCGGCCATCCGCGACACACTGCCGCCGACGCTGTCACTCGATAGCTTGCCTTTCGGAATGAGCTTGGTCGCGTTGCTGGCCAACTGGCCCAAGCTCATCGACGCCTTGTACTGCAATTCTTCGTCGGTCGACCGCGCGCGCGCGATACGGAGCAGTGCTTGGATCCCGCCTTCCTCTGCAATCTTGAGGTGGTTCTCGTAGTTGTCGGCGAGCTTGAGCAGCGCGAGACCAGCGTAGTGTCTCGGCTCAGCATTCACCGACATCATCGAAATGAGAGGTCGGAGCGCGCCGTGGTCGACCAGTTTGACTTGGTAGTCTCGGTTCGATGCCAAGTGAGCCAGCGAAAACGTCGCGTACTCTTGACACTCCATGTCCTCGATGGACGCGAGGGAGATGACGGTGACCATCCCGCCCTCCCGAACAAACTCGTCGTGAAACTCGTGGTGCTCCACGACCAGCGCAAACACGTAGCCGCAGTTTCGTCGGACTTCCAGGTCGGGGACGCGGCACTGATGCACGATCTTTGCGATCGCGCCAAGTTCGATCAGCTTGACGAGGACATCCATGTTTTCCGCGAGCGACCCGACGCAGTAGATCGCGATGCGGATGCATTCAAGGTCCGAGCTCGTGAGGAGCGCCATGAGCGGCAACAGCCCATCTTCTTGCATCACACTGGTCTTTGCCATCGCGTGTTTGCCCAGCACGAGCGCGTTGAGCGCAAGACATCCGCACTTTTGGATTTCCACGCTCGGGTACCGCAGCATCTCAATGAGTGGCCGAACAACGCCGTCTTCAATCATGCGGATCTTGTTCATGCTGTGGTCGCCGAGGGCTAGGCCGGCCAACGCGAGTGCGGCATACCGCTGGATTTCGTGGTCGGGGAACCGAACGAGATGCATGAGTGGCCGCACCGCGCCCTGCTCGACAATGAACGCCTTGTCGTCACCTGAACTCAGGTTGCACACGGCAAGCGTCGAGTATCGTTGCGACGTGACGTCGAGCGACCGGGCCAGACTAAAGAGTGTCTTGAGCGCGTGTTGCTGGATGAGGTCGGATCGAAGCGAGGCGGTCATGCTGAGGGACGCGAGCGCTCGGGATGCATCCCGCTGGACGCGGGCGTCGTCGTGCACGCCAACTTTGACGAGGACGCCGATCCCGCCTTCCCGTACAATGTCGAGTTGGTACTCCCAGCTGTCGGCCAAGTTGGCGAGCGCGAATGTGCAGTCTCGGACAACTTCCAAGTCGGGGTACAACATGCACTTGAGAATCTGGGCGAGGGCACCGTCGCGTACGAGTTTCATTTTGTTGTCTTCGTTGAGCGAGAACGAGCAGAATGCGGACGCAGCAGTGCGCTGGTAGTCGAGAATGGGGGATTGGGCCAGCGACAGGAACGGCGGGAGGAGATTCTCGTGGACAATGTGGACGCGGATCTGCGGGTTCGACGACAGGAACCGAAGCCCCATCGCAGCGTACCGCTGGCACACTTCCTCTCGCGAATTCGTTAGCGCCAGCAAGCACTTCAGCCCGCCCTGCTTGTAAATCGTGCCATGGTTGTCTTCATTGGCACTCAAATTCGCCAACGCCCGCGCAACATCCTGTTGAATCTCATCGTGGTCTATTGTGCCGAGCGCAACGAGCCCCACGGTCGCTCCGTCGTCCACCATCGTCGGTTGATTCGCCATGTTTTCGCTCAAGTTTGCGAGCACGCCCGCGCACTGGCAGAGTAAATCCAAGTGATGTGTCGCGTGGTTTGGGTTGATGCACTTGAGAAGGGGTCGCAGCACGCCTTCTTCAACCATCACACGCTTCAGCTCTGGCGCGATGGACAAGTGCCGGAGTGCTGCGAGCGCGGCACACTGCAAACTCGACTCGACGTCGCGCATAAACGTCACAAGGGCTGCCACCCCTCCCTCTTCATGGAACCGAAGTTTGAACTCGGCATTCGACGCGATATCGCGAAGCGCCACGACGGCATGCCGGCGAATGTTGGTTTCCTTGGCCAGCAACAAGAACAACAGCGACTTGATCCCGCCTTCGGCAATGATGCCCTTATGGCTGGACAAGTTGGGCGAGAGCTTCCGCAGCGCCAGAGCAGCGTTGTACTGGCACTCTACGTCCAGCGACAGAGCGAGATGAATGAGCCCGGGAAGACCGTCCGTCACGATATCGCCATGGTGGCCAAAGCTTGTGAGGAGGTTTGCGATCGCGCGAGAAGCTTCTCGGTGAATATCCACACTCTTGTGCCGCATGAGCGCAATCAAAAATCGTCCGCCGCGAGCTTCGGCGAACCGCGGATGCGTCTCGATTTTCTCTGCCAAGTTGGCGACGGCGCCGCACGCCTGGCGCGCCACTTCAACGTCCGGCGACTGCGCTAGCTGAATCAAAGGAGGAAGGGCGCCGCTCGCGACAATTTCTAACTTGTACTCGTCGCTAAGACTCAAATTGCAGAGAGTGGCGGCCACTTCCCGCTGTGTTTCGAGCTCTTCCGAGTGGCCGGCAATGGCAAGCGGCACTAACCCACCACCGCGGACGATCCGCCCTCGGTTCGCGGGCGAGACTTGGCACAATCGTCGTAACGCGGCAATGGCCAGCGTGTGGGCGTTTGAGTCTTCCGAGTGGGCGAGCGCAATGAGTGGAATGATTCCACCTTCGTCGCCGATCGTGTTGCAGTGTTCAGCGTTTCCGGCAAAGTTGGCGAGGGCAAAAGCAGCGTACTGGCGAATATCGTCGAGGGGCGACGTCGATAGACGGAGCACGATCTTGAGCACACCTCGGGAAATCATCGTCGGGTGATTCGTTTCGTTCGCGGCCAGGTTGGACAGCGCCATGACGGCGTACCGCTGGTCAATCACGTCGGCGGACTCGCTCATGGAGATGATGGCGGCGAGGCCGCCGTGAACGACGACTTGCACCTGGAGCTGGGGGTCGCATCCCAAATTGCAAATGGCAATGCACGCATACCGGCGAATGGCCATGTCGATGTCTTTCGCGCCCAGCACAAGCGCTTGCAAACCGCCCGATCGAGAAGCGGCCACCCGCGTTTCGGCATTTGCAGTCAAGTTGCACATGGCCATCATCGCGTACAGCTTTGTGTCCGTGTCCGGTGACGTTGCGAGCTTGATTAAGTGCACACAAACGCCTTGGTCGACGATGCGAAGTTGGTTGAGCGCGGCGCACGACACGTTGTAGATGGCCAGCGTCGCACTGCGCTGGCACTCGAGGATCGGCGACATGGCGAGCTGGCTGATGGGTGCCAGTGCGCCTTGGTCAACGACGACGAGCCGATTCTGGCGATGCGTCGAGATGTTGGATATCGCCATACAAGCATACCGTGCGCTCTCGCTCTCGTGGGGGTTGGTCGCTGCGACTTGAATCAGGGGAGCGAGGCCCCCCGCCTTGACGATGTGGATTTGGTTCGATGTGTTGGCGGCGAGGTTGCACAACGCCATGGCGGCATACCGCTGGCACTCTGAATTCGTCGACGCGAGCAACCGAATCAGCGGCGGCAACCCGTTTGCTTTTACGATGCGCAGTTCGTTCTGGACGTTGCTAGCCAAGTTGCAAATGGCCATCGCCGCGTTCCGTTGGCAGTCGACGTCGTGGTCCGACAAGAGTGCCACGAGCGGTCCCAATCCGCCAGCATCGACCAAATGCGCCTGGTTGTCTTTGTTTGCACTCAACCGGTACATGCAACGGGCCGCATACTGCCGACACGATGCAAACGGGCTCTGGACGAGCATCACCAGCGGAACGAATCCGCCCTGCAGCGCGATTTGAAGCTGGTTCTTTGCTGTCACGGCAATGTTCCCCATGGCCAGCGCGGCGTCGCGCCCGCAGTTTTCCTCACATGAGGACGCAAGCGTGAACAGCGCCTGGAGCTCTGCGGTCGTAAACACATTCACTTGATTCTCTGGGTTCGACGATACGTTTGCAAACGCCCGCGCCGTTTGCTGCATGATGCTTTCATCCTTTGCCGTTGACAGCGCGACGAGCGCGGCAAGCCCGCCTTGGGCCACCATCGCCACTTGATTTTTGGTGTTTTCACTCAAGTTGGCCAACGCGCCAGCGCACTGCAGCTGCAGATCCGCGTTGGGAACCATACTGGCGCTAAAGAGCGGGGGAAGCCCAGCTTCTGCAACGAACGCTGTCTTGACGGGCAAATACAGCGCCAAGTGACGAATGGATGCGGCCCCCATGCACTGTAACTCGACGTCTGTCGCGCGCAAGAGTGAGATGATCGCAAGAAGACCGCCATCCCCGAGGATCTTGGGCTTGTTGTCAATGCTGGAGCACAGCGCTTTGAACGCAGCGGCAGCCTGGCGCTGCACGGTCAAGTCATGAGCCCCCATCAGGTTGAACAACGTGACGAGCGACCCGGACGCCATCACGCTGCTGTGGGTCGCAGGGTTCATGCACAGCTTGTGGTACGCGAGCGCAACGTTGTAGTGGCACTCATGGTCGTCTGTCTTGGCCACACGGGTTAGCGCGCCCAGACCATCTTCGCTCAAGTACAGCACGTGCATCTCCATCGACGAAATCAAGTTGGCTGCCAACCGACTCGCCTCGCGATACACGGTCAAGTACCTGCACCGCATGAGCCGGATGCAACTCGGAACGGCGTGCATTTCCATCATGTTCAAGTGGCTCTCTGGGTCTTCCGCAATGTTTGCCAGCGCTCCGCATGCATTTCGGGCTGTTTCAATGTCCGTGGATGCTGCCAGTGTAAACAACTGCGCCAGGAGCGGCGAGGTTGCGACGGTCACTTTGTGGGCATCGCTCAATGTCCAATTGCACGCCCACGCGGCGATTTCACGCGCCAGCTCTGCGTTGGCATGAACGAAAGCGGCCGACGCAGCCTGGACGATGGCTGGCAGAAGCGCGGGCACCCGCGCGGCAGACATGCATTCGAATCGAATCGTGTCGAGGATGGCGAGACGGCGGAGCACCGATACGGCCTGGCATCGTGCATGGATATTGTCGGATACAATGAGAGCGATCGCACTGTCGATGCACTGGTCAGCGTGGGCGACGTCGGTGTGGTACAAGTCGTTCATGGCGAGTTTGCCGAGAGAAAAGGTCGCGTAGAACCGCGTTTCGAGTGTGTGTTTGGCGCTCATCGCCCGGACGAGGGGAACCAGGGCTCCCTGCGCCAAGCACGCTTCATGATGGACGGGGTTGGCAAAAATGCTGCCGAGCGCCAGGACCGCAAAGCGCTGGGGGTCCGGGAACGCCTCGTCCGAGACAAGGCGAACCAACAGCGCAATCACATTCGCCTTTTTGAAGATCGTGTGGTGTGTGGCGGGGTTCGCGAGAAAGTTGCCGAGCCCGATCGCGCCAAACATGCGCACGTCGACGTTTGCGCTGTCGAGCGAATGCACGAGCAAAGTATGGCAGTTGTCTTCGAGCAATCGCGCATGCGTGTTGTAGTTGCATCCAAGGTTGCACACGCACTTGAGCGCTTCCTTGACTAGGAGCGGATCCTGCATGTCTTCGAGATCCACGAGAAATTTGCAGCCACGGTCGCGGAGGATATGGTCGTGGGTGTCGCTGTGCTCGGCCAAGTTGGCGATTGTAGCGCACGCATACGTCGCGACGACATGAAAGGCCGCCTTGGTCTACAAACGAACCAACAGCTCGATCGTGTCGAGATCGAGATCCCACGTACTTGGTGCTCGACATCCATGTCGGGGGACATGCACAGCTGGATGAGCTCGACCATGAGCTGAGACGACGCAATTGCCGGTTTGTTTTTTTCGTGGAGAGACAAGTTGTACGCGGCGACAGCCACTTCTTTGCGCACAAAACCATCGACGCATGTGGCACCGAGAATCAGCGGCTCGAGGCCGCCATCCTGGACAATCTTCACGCGGCTGTCGGGGGTGCTGGATAGCCCGCGCAGCGCCGCAATGGCCGTTCGTTTGTCTTGGGAACTTTCCGAGCACGCAAGCGCAATGATGGGCGGAATCCCGTGGTTGTCGACAATCAACTGCCGCCGACTCGGCTCGGACGCGAGATTGCACAAAGCAAACGCAATGCACCGGTGGGTTTCCAAGTCGACACTGCGGGAAAGCTCAATGAGTGGCGCGATGGCGCCGGCCCCGACAATCGATTCGTGGTGCTCGGACTTGGCAGCAACGTTCCCGAGCGTAATGGCCCCAAAGAGACGGTACGTCGCGTCCGCCGAGCACAAAAACGACACGAGGCTGTGCACGTCGCAAGCAGATAGAAACAGTCCTGGGTCGGCACCGATGCACCCGCTTAGACTGAGATTGCACAAACACGCAAGCACTTCCTGCTGAACGTCCATGTCTTTGGAATGCGTGAGCCGAAGAAGTGGCGGGAGACCGCCCATCCGGACCACGTCTTCCCGAATTGTGGCGTCGACGCAGAGACCGCGCAAGGCCGAGACGGCGCGTAGGACGCACTTGCCATCTGCGGACGACACCAGGTCAATCAGCGCTTCGAGGCAGTTGCCGGACTCAACGATCAACCGATGGTTTTCTGGAAACGCGGCAAAGTTGGCAATACCAAAGGCCGCGGCATTGCGAATACTCGCGTCCTCTTCTTCGAGGAGGCCGGTGAACAGCGGAATGATGCCGGCGTCGATGAGCTGCGTGTGCGTGCTCTGGACAGATGCCAGGTTCGTCAGTGCAAACGTGGCGTACCTATTCAACCATCAGCACCAGCCTCTCGCGACAGCGTGTATGGATGGCCGCACCGTTGGCTGTCGACGTCGCCATTGCCGAACTTGGCCAAGATAGTCAGGGGGTGAATTGCACCGTCCTGGATCAGCTTGACCACATTGTCGACGTTTGTCGACAAGTTGGCGAGCCCCATGGCCCCATATCGCTGGCATAAAAAGTCAGGCGAGCTCAGGGTCGCCACCAACGGCGCCAGTCCCCCGCTGGACGCAATCTCGGCTGTGTATGCGTATTCGGCAGACATGTTGGCGATCGTACGAACCGCTTCACGCTGGATGTCGACGTTTTTCGACCGCAGGATGAACTTGACGTGCTGGAGGACGCCCTCCTGCACCATGCGGCCTTGGTTTTCAATCACTTCGGCCAAGTTGGCGAGAATCCCGGTCGCTTGATGCGCGACTTCGATGTCCCCCGAGTGCGCCAGCGTCACGAGTGGCGTCAGGAACCCGTTCAGGACGATCGCAATCTTGTTGTCTTCGCTGAGACTCAAGTTCCGAATGGCGGCCGTTGCTTCGCGCTGCACCTCGATGTTCTCGGACAGCGTCAATTGGAACAGCGGCTTTAGTCCGCCATGCAGCACGACTTGAGACCGCGACTTTGGCTCCAGCGCAAGGCGCCGCACGGCAAAACACGCTTGCAAGTGGGTCTCCTCGTCCGCGTCGTGCATGAGTGACACGATGGAGCGCAAGATGCCCATTTTGCAAATTGTGATCCAATTCGCGTCGTTGCCGGCAATGTTGTTGATGGCGAAGGCGAGGCACCGGCGGGTTTCGAGGTCCGCGGAATTTTCGACGCTCATGAGGGCGGCAATCGCGCCTTGGTCGAACAAATCCTTGTGGTTAGTCGGGGACACGGCCAAGTTGCCAACGGCTAGCGTCCCGAAGCGCTGGCATATCGCGTCGTCGGTCTGGATGAACGATATAATGTACTGCAGCGCGTTGCTGCGCAAGAGCGTCGTCTGCGACGATGGTTTCGCTGCAAACAAGGCCAAGCACCGAGCAACTTGCTGGCGAATTTCAACGTCGGGCGACCGTGCCAGAGCGTACAGTGGAGTCAACACGCCCTCTTCAATCATTTTGCGCTGCGTGTGGCCTTCAATCATCTCGGCAATGTTGGCCAGCGCACAGATCGCATGGCGTTCGCGCGTGGGGTCGTCGCTTTGTGCCAGCGCAATCAATGGCGGCAAGCATCCTCCCCGTGCCATCGTCACTTTGTTCTCCTCGCACATGGACAGGTTGCACATGGTGGCGGCAACTTCCCGCTGGACTTCGATACTTTCAGACGATGCCGCCAGGATCACGGGCTCGAGGGCGCCGAGACGCATGACTTGTTGTCGGATGTCCTGGTTCACGGACAGCCCCCGCAGCGCCGCGATCGCTTGGAATTGCACATTTGGGTCCCCGGGAAACGCAAACGAAATGATCGGCTTTAGCGCGTTCGCCTCAACAATCCGCTCGAGGTTGGCAGGGTTGCTGCAAAGGTTTCCGATTGCAAAGATGGAGAACTGCCGACACTTTACGTCGCGGTGCTTGGCGTAGTTGCACAAGAGGGTCAGACACCGCTCCATGAGCTCTTCGTGGGTGCCATGCGACACAGCCAAGTTAGCCAGCACGAGCAAGCAGTACCGAATCGTTTCGTTGTCAGCGAGGGATCGCGGATCCAGGGCTTCGTCAAGGCGAGCGATCACAGGCTCCAGAATCCCCATGGAGAGCATCTTTTGCTGATTGTCGACGTTTGTCGCCAAATTGGACAACGCCATGGACGACATGCGCTGGCATTCCACAACTTCACTTGCCAACAGCGTAATCAGCGGCGGCACAGCGCCTTGCTTGAGGATCACGTTGCCGTAGTCGCAGTTGGCCGCGAGATTCCCGAGTGCCCGCGCCGCTTCGCGCTGGATCACTTCGTTGCCTTTCCTGACAGCGTCCACGAGGGGGACAATAGCTCCGGCGTTTACAATACGACTTTGGTTTTCAATGTTTTCGCTTAAGTTGGCCAAGGCGCAGCAGGCTTGGCGGTGCGTAGCGCCGTCGGTCGAGCTCAACGACGAAATGAGCGGCGGGAGCCCACCGCTTTTGCAGATCTCAGCCTTGTTTGCATCTGCACACCATACGCATTGGTCAGTGGGGAATTGGCCTTAATGGAATCGAACCATGAACCTGCAAAGGAGAGCGTGCACAACGCAGGCAGCACATCTCGGTGAATGTCTGAATCTTCTGTTCGAGCTAAGAACAGGACGGGCTCCAACCCGCCTTCCTCTGTAATCTTTTTGCGCAAGTCTGCATTCAGTGCGACCTTGACAAGGGCGTAAGCAGCATATTGGCGCACTTCTTGGTCCGGGGCGCTGGACAAACTGATGAGAAGTGGCAGTGATCCTTCTCGGACCATGATCTTGTGATTCTCGACGCACGACGCCAAGTTGGCTATAGCCAAGATTGCAAATCGCTGGATTTCAACCTGGATGCCGCAGGAAGCGTCACGTTCAAATGGCAAAAACGTGGGTCGCCACCTTACCTCGACGTCCTCGGACCGTGCTAGCGACATCAGCGGGTCCATCGATCCACTCTCCATGATAATGACGCGTAGGTCGGGGTTTGTCGACAGGTTGCACAACCCCAGGGCGCCGACGCGCTGACATGCCATGTCTGGCGACAAGAGATACGAAATGAGGAGTTGATGGCCGCCCGATTGGACGATCTCCGTGTGGTTGGCATGCCGTGCGCACAGGTTCGCCAACGCGCGGCCGGATTCGCGCTGCACCTCTACAAACTGCGACCTCATACACATGATCAGTGGCGAGATGCCGTTTTCGAGCGCAATCATCGCTTGGTTCTCGTCGACTTCGGCCAAGTTTGCCAGCGTCCCAGTGCACTGCCTGGCGACTTGCATGTCCTCCGACTGGGCGTGCGCAATGAGCGGTGGAACAGCGCCGCTCTTGGCGATTTCGTATTTGGTTTCTTCGCTTACACTCAGGTTGCACAGCGCGCCGCACACTTCGCGGAGAATTTCCACGTCGTCGGACACGAGCAGGCGCACAAGCGGCTCAAGGCCTCCTTCTTGCACGATCTTGATCTTGTTTGCGGCGGTCACACTCAATCCTCGCAGCGCCGCCGCCGCTTGGTGGTGAGCGTCCGAGTCCGCCGAGCACGCCAGCGTAATGATGGGCTGCAACCCACCTTCTTCGACCATTCGTGTGTGGTTGGCTTCGTTTGAAGCAAGATTGGCCAGTGCGTAGGCCACGTAGTACTGACTCAACGCGTCCGACGAGCTCGAGAGCGAAAAGAGGGCTAGAAGACCGCCTTCCTCCACGATGGCCGGGTGGTTAGCCAGCATCGCAGCCAAGTTGGCGATGGCCAGGACCGCGTAACGACGGGCTTCTAGCTCTCGGTCGAACGCTTTCGCCAAGGCAATGATGGGTCGGATGAGGCCGAGACTCACGATTGCGATCTGGTTTGCCCCGACCACACTCAAGTTGGCAAGGGTGAGGGCTGCAAAGCGCTGGCACACATGGTGGCCCACGACGAGGGCTTTCGAAATTGGGTCGAGTACGCCCTGGACCATGAGAGTCTCTTGGACGTCTTTGTTGGCGCTGAGATTGGCCAGACAACGACATGCTTCTGCCTTGGTGTTGGGCTCGTCGCTGGACGCGAGCGCCAGTACTGACGCCAGGCCGTTCTCACGCAGCAGCTTGGCATGCAGCTCAGGCATTTCCATCAAGTTTGCGAGTGTGCAACAAGCGTGCTGCTCCACAGACGGGTCCCCCGATAAGCACATCGACACAATCGTGAGCAGCGCACGGTCCGAAATCTCCATCTTGTTGCCTTCCATGCACGACAACGTACAGAACGATGCGGCGACTTCCCTTTGAATATCGATTTCATCCGACCGAGCCATGAGAACCAGTGGGTCCAAAATGCCTTCCTTCACAACAATCAGGCGGTTGTCGGGGGTGATGCATATTCCGCGGAGGGCCGCCATGGACTGTCGTTGGGCGCTCAAGTCGCTGCAGCACGCCACTACGCAAGCAAACGCGTGTGAGACTGACACATCGAGCATCTGTCGTACGCGCTATGAGACGGGGTATCGCGCCCTGCTCGACGATGAGCGGTCGGTATTCATTGTTGACGCCAAGGTTGGCCAAGGCAAACGCGGCGTATGCTCCTAAACACGGTTCCTCGGGGTCCACGGAGCTTACGAGTGATGATATTGCATGAAGTTTGACAATTTCTTCGTGGTTTTCCGGCTCAGCAGCCAAGTTGCCTATCGTCATGGCCGAGTACTGCTTTCCTACGATGTCGCCCCCTTCTTTGTTCATGAGGGCTATAAGAGGTGGCAATACACCCTCCTCCACGATCTTGAGCCGTATCGAAGCTGTCGACGACGTGTTGCCCAGACACAAGCACGCAAATCGAAGTGCTTGGTCGTCGGACGAGTCTGTGATGAGGTGCATGAGTGACCGCACGACCCCCTTCTCGACCATTTTCACATGGAATTCCGGGTTCGTTGAGATTTCGGCCAGGTTGAACGATACTTCACGCTGTTCTGTTGGCTTTCGCTCCCGACGTCCACGCGCGATGAGCTGCTCCAAAACCTTTGCGGCCATTTCGGATGCGGCGGCTCTCCATGCAGTGCAACAGACTGGACGAGTGAAACGCGTGACCTTTCAGCCGGTAGTGTTCAAAACGGTAAAATTGGAAGCAAAATTTGAGGAATTACGTCGATTGATACTATTTACTGGCGTATTTGTGATACGACATCCTTATTAATAATATGGAATATTGATACTTATACGTTCATCAAATATCACAAATGACTCAACACGACAAGTAAATTTAGTATCAATATACTGATATCTTGGAAAATTTGTCACCCGTTGTTGGTACATTCAAATTCATTCTCGGACGACCGACGACGAAAGTCGCGCGACGACCAAGTGTGACCGCAACATGAACGGGACAAACGAAGGACACGACGTATCGGAGAGAGGAGGACGACATGGTAACAACCGAGGTCGTTCCCGTGGCGGGCGCGGTCGGCACGGTAAAGGGGGCACAGACGGCGGCAACACGACACCTGCTTCAAGTCCAGTTAGTACACGTCACCAGCAGCCAAAGAACCTTGCGGCGCAGCTAGCTTCGGCGGTGGCATCGCTCTCCCTCGACACAGTGAAAAATCTCCTGGAGACTGATCGCTCGCTGGTGAATCATATGTACCGAAGAGGAGAAACCCTGCTGACTTTAGTGTGTGGTCTGAAGTCTGTGTCGTCGCCCGAAATTCACACTTCGATCGTGGAGACTCTGTTTGCGCATGGAGCGCTCTTGTCGGTGAAAAACAAGCAAGGATGTGCTGCATTTACGTTGGCGTGCAGTCGGCACCACGTCCATCTGCTGCCGCTTTTACTGCACGAGGCTGTCAAGCAGGAGCAAGTGAATCCGCACGAGACGGTCCCAGCGCTGTTGCTTGCAACCCTCGGTGGGTTGGACGAACGCGCAACGGATTCCAATAGCGGGCGATGGGAAGCCATTCAACTCGATCCTGAGCGATGCCACCAAACGGTCACGTTTCTGCTAGAGCAGACCAAAGCACTCCAGAACGGAGACGCGTTCGTGCACCACGCCGTCCGAGCGGCGACTCCACGTGGCGTCACACCATTGCACTTAGCTGCCGGATTGTTTCTACCTAAAACGGTTGCATACTTGCTTGAAAACCACGGCGATCCCCACGTTCACGAGGACAACTCGTTGACGCCGGTGCAGTTTCTGGACAAGTGTTTTTGTCACATCGAATCCTTCTTGATCGACGATACAACTACAGCCCCCTCCGAGGTGCCGGATTCCACTCGTACTGCCAGCACACGAGGCAGCTCGCAACAACACGGGCGAGGCAAGCGCGCGAACTATCGACGCCGCGCCATGTCGACAATCGGGACAAGTAAGGTCAATGGCGCATGCCCGCCTTGTCCTCGCCACGGGCGAATGGTTTTCACATTCTTGCGTAGGCGTACAAGCGCGCGCATTGAAAACTGTCCAGGTCTTTGCCAAGCATTGTGGTTCGTCGCGTGGATTTCATGTCTTATCCCATCTGTGTTGATAACATGGCGTGGTTGACTTGCAGGTCTCGAGCCATTGTTTGCGAACAACGGGTGCTTTAGTCTTCGCTCGCGTCGCCTCAAAAACGTGATTGTGGCGCATGTGGGTCTTGCTTCTATCTTGGAAACCGTACGAGAGAGTGCAATATTCAAGAAACACTCATGGATTTGGCTCACGACAGACCTGCGCTGCCAAGGACTCGACGAACGACTCCAAGTTGGTGTTGCTCCATTATGTGGCAGGACTCTACCGGGCAATGCACAAGAACCACGACTTGCGTACGTATTGGGAGGCCGCGATGGATCGCTCAGGAACCGACGACGACCTGGACCATACGTCGTCAACCCACCCGTTTACGCCAAAAACCCTCGAGTATGCCACCATCATCGTATTCACTAGCGTGTTTCATGCACTGCTGAATCGCATAGGTGGCTCGTACACCGACTGACTGAGGGCAATCCAAACCCGCGATTTCGTTCTACGTGGGCATATATTGTCGCGCATGTCCTGAAGCTGTATGCGCCGGCCCCTCGACGCCAGATCAGCGATCTCAAAGTGTACACGACGATCACGGCGTCGATGGCGGTGTCAGGTCAGTTGGCCTCATTTCGCATTGTTGGCATGGCAGACACGAAGTAGCGCGATTTGTTCCTCATGAAAGGTTGGCTGTGCAAATAGTCAAGCGATTGGTATTCAACTTGTGCGACGCGGACTCATCCGACGACGAGTTTGAGATCAAGTCGCTGTTCGCCAAGGTGGAGATGCTAGTGTTGTGGCTCATCCCGTATGTGTCGTCGTTGGCCGGCGACATCGACCCTGTGCAAGACGTGCTCAAAGTGGTGACGGAACCGCTGCACGATTTGAAATACGTCGTCCAAATGGCGCTGCAAGTAATGCCCGACGACGTATACGCCCCCGACCGGTTTGCTGCTGCATTGTACGTCCTGCAATTGGTGGCACAACTCGAAACGTGTTTTGAATCCAAGCAAATTCGGCGCGTGCACCACGTAAGTCAACGCGAGTTTTGCTCTTGTTGAGGATCGTTCCATGTGCGTGTAGATGTTGAGAGGTCAGCTGGAAAAGCCCCATGCTCGCACATGGCGTAACGCGGACGAGTCGAACGTGCCCGTCAGTCTCTCTCGCTTCTCATCTGCATTTGGATTGCCCGAGTCGTTCGTCCAATGGATGATGCCACTTCGAGACCAAGTCAACCTCCTCATTCGGTACGATGGCATCGTCATGCACCGTTGCGCTCAATGCATGCTGTTGCATCAGGTCCGAGGTTCGATTGCTGGCCGAGTATTTTCAAGATTGGTCGTCAAATTCGTGGTTTATCACAACGGCCAACAAACTCGAGTACATTGAAGCGATGGCAGACGAACGCCATGGACGCTTCCAGCTGACCATCAATCGACAAGCGTCGACATTGTGCTTTCTCGACTTTGTCATTCAACAGGTAACTCGAACGTGCATGGGATTCTAGCATTTATGCTGGTTTTGAAGTTCACGCGTGAGCGCAGGTGCTGTGCACGTCCATGCGAAACTTGAATGGCGAAATGGAAATCAATTTCTTGAACGAGCCAGGCCTTGGCGTTGGGCCCTTGCGGTATGTGGACACATCAGCTCCATCGCTCCGTCCATGACCTAGTTTAGTGAGTTCTTTGAACTGGTCGCCCACCATTTCTTCAACCCGCAAGTATCGATTCCGTCGGACGAGCGAGACCACCATGGTTTGGCGTCGACGAGCTCCAAGTCCATTTTCAGTCAGTGGTTGCACATGGCGCGCCAAAACATCTCTGCGACGAAGATTCCATCAACGCCGTCGCCAGCCAAGCAAGTCGCGTCGTCCCCTTTGAAGAAAAACCATTCGTCCGCGCTGTGGCTCCCCATTTTTTCGTTTGCCGACTCCAACCGCACGTCGTTGTGTTTTCAATCCCATCCGTTGCCCGTCGCGTGCGCCCCAATCCTGGAACAAGACGGAGTGTACCACATCCCGTTTGACCGAATTGTGGAAAACGCCGACCTGGCCAAGGTGTATCGTTGTGCGGGTCGGCTCATGGGACTAGCGCTGCGACATCAAGCGCCATTGGGGGTTCGCCTCCCCAACGCGTTGTGGAAATTTGTTCGAGGGGCGGACAAATTGACATGGCAAGATTACACGGCCCATAACCCACAATTTCAAGCGGGGTTGGCGGCAATTTTAAATCACGACTTTGGACATTCCACCGACGACAATGACAGCGAGTGGGAACTGTACTTTGAAGCGTGCGGGGCCGTCGTCGTCGTCGTTGGAGAGAGCGATGTCGAGACTGAAGTCCACTACCCAACGACAGAAATCGAATTGGTACCTGGGGGAAAAACCATTCGAGTTACCAACGACAACAAGGCGGAGTACGTTCAATTGCGAGCCGAGCGATTCTTTTGCAACCAAATGGCCAACTTGCAGGCATTTCAAAAGGTATTTATCTCTCGACGACGGAAACGACGACGATTTGACAAGTGTTGGACCAGGGGGTCCTAGATGTGGTTTACAAGCGCGATTTGCTGTGGTTGAGTGCTGAGGAACTCCAGTCTGTTGCCCTTGGAGAACTCGTCGTTGACGTTGCTGCGTTGCAAAAGCACATCCACTACGCTCGTCCTGCTCACAGCCAACACCCCACCATCGTGCACTTTTGGGCAGTCGTGCACGCCATGGACCAATCGACCCTGCGTCAACTGCTCACTTTCTGGTCGGGCTCGTCCCAGCCTCCATTGTTTGGGTTCGACTTTACGGGGGTATGCGCTTTTCATCCCCATAGAAGACACATGCTCTGGCTGAGCCGTTTGATAGGGAAATTCTTGGTCCATTAAGTTGACCTCGCGCGACAACGTTGTACACTGGCCTTGCCCTCAAGCGATCACGTGGTGCGGCCTGCTACTCGTTATCCCTCTGCCTGACCCCAATGTGTTTACGGGTGCTGTGTATAGTGAACATCAGCTGCTTCTGCCGGAGTACCCGAGCGAAGAAGTCTTGCGAGAGAAATTCATGGTGGCGTTGAAGTATGGCTCGCTTGGCTTCGACCGAGTGTAGAACTCGCAAAATAGCATGGTATGCTGTCGTTAAACAACTTACTCGACAGTGTCTGTCCGAGGAGGGAGCGGCACAATTCCTGGTTGCTCAAATGTCGGCGCCACCGGGGCTGTGGAGGGTTCAGTTGCGTCGACTGGAGCATATCGTCGTTGCGGCAACGATTGGTATTCTTCGCCACGCACCATCGAGTGAAAAAAGAGATAGATCAACTTGAGTGGGTACATGACGAATGCTACAATAGCCATCGCCCAGGACACAACGGTGGCCAACATCGCATCCGTCGAAGAGGTGGAGCATGTCGATGCGCCATTCGAAGTGTAGTCAGAAGGCATTACACTCTTCTTCGTGCCAACCAACTGCACTACGCTGCCTGGCCACACGTCTCCTTTCTTCAAAATCTTACCGTGATGAATCAACCGCGCGTGGTCGCTACAATCGACGCTCACATGACGAGGGAATTGCATCAACGTACAGGTGGAACAACGTCGCGAGGGTGTGGGTCGGGTCATCCACGCTCCAAATGCTTACGTACAAGATGTACGTGACATTGCAAAACTTGACGCTGCATGGCTTTTCGCGTTGCGCTTCGTTGCCACACGCGTCCATCTGCCGCACAATCTTTACCTGTATGTGGCACTCGCTGCATCGGTTCTTGTTGTGGCCGAGGTAGCGGCAAGCACAGGACACGCAAAAAACATGCCCGCAGTCCGTGATGCACTGGTCAGGCTTTCCTTCCAGCGCCTCATCGCATAGCGCGCAGCGCGACATGAATTCGGTCGTCGTCGTATGGGTCATCGCGCCAACAACTGACACTATCTAAATCCGTGCCCCGGGGCACAATCTGGTTGTACACCTGTAACTGCCATGGCGAAGTTCTCGTGAGCCAAAAATAGCGCAGCGGTGGCGGAATGCGAGAACGCCATTGACCAGCTTGGGCAACATGGCCCGCGGCGCTGCAGTCAAGGTCAATCCACGCACAACAGCGTTGCGACGTGCGAGCAGCTGCGGAAGCCTGCCACTCATGGACGAGGCAATTCTCAAGGAGCTCATACAAAGCACAAGGTTACGCGGTGGGCCCAAGAAAGAAGCACCACTGCCACTCACCCGTGACGAAGAGCCCGAAGCGAATGATAAGTGCCCCAAGGAATCAACAAAACCTACCACGTACCAAGCCGAGCTAGACAACAACAACGATGACGACGACAAGAGTGACCAAGAGGCCGATTCCCAAGTCGTCCGGATTACAGAAGACAACAATGAAGTTATCACCGCACATGGGGTGCACGCAGTGGCAACTCAAAACGCCTTTCGTGAAGCCAGTTTCGAGTCCGATCTCCCAGAACTGGGAGCAGAACCTGTGCGCCAAGGTGGCGGGACGACGCTGTTAGATCGGACCTTCAACAAGCACACATTGAAGAAGCTGTTTTCACTCCCGTCGATCATGAGTACCGTCCTGGAAAAGAAGAAAAAGCCTCCAGTGTCATCAGCGCATGGCGAGCCATCCCCCACGAGCCGCAGTGGGCGTGTAGTGCCGCTCCTGGAAGGGCGGCCATCCAGTCCATTGGCTCTACTCGAAGACGCCATCCCTCAGTCCCCCACACTGCGCAATGTCCGACCAACATGGTCCAGTACACACCCAGCATTCACCCGGTGCAAGTTTATCGTGTGGCGTGGGGGAGTCCCTGGGTTTCACGTGAGCTACAACAACAGCGGCACAGGCCTCGTGGTCAATTCGATAACGGGACCATTTGCATGGACGGAAGGCATTCGAGTGGGTGACTACCTCGAGAGCATCGGCGGCATGTCCGTCGCCGACATGGACCCCCACGCCGCCATGGGCATGCTTCGAATGTCAGATATCCCCACCGTACGCATCCTTCGCCAGTGGCCACATCACTCTAAGCGTTCATTCTTGTCTAGGTCTTGCGCTTTCGTGCATCCTGCGTTGTTCCGAGCGAGCGGTTTTTTGTCCCGCTACATGAAAATGAAAAGCTTGGGGTGACGTTTGCCTCCGATGGCAACGAAGCCATTCCCGTGGTGAACCGCATCACGGACCGCAATGACACGCTGGCGCAATCGTATGGCCTCGGATGTGGTCATGTTCTCGTGGCCATCAATGCACAGGACACCGTTGCCAAAGGCCTCACGGTCGCGATGCAAATGCTTGCGACTGTGAAGAAGCCAGCAACCCTTGAATTTCGAAAATTGTGTACGACGCTCCTGACGGAACCGTTGCCCGTCTCGATTGTGCCACCGACGCCAACGTCCGCCGTGACGCAACAACGGTACAGCACGTTCTTGTCGTCCCGCGGCACCGAAAGCAGTTTGATCTTGGACCGGCTGTCCGTGGCCGCCACAACGCTGGATGAAACGAGAGGCGAGATTTTCATCGTGTGGCGGTCCGGTCCATTGGGCGTCACGTTCATCCAGTGCCCGACGACTGGGCTTCCCAAGGTCAACCGACTCACGGGAAAAGGCCGATCGGCCATGATTGATCGTGTCCAGCACGGGTACACTTTGCTCTCGATCAACGGATCTGCGGTGGCCCCACAAACATTTGACGCGACGTGCGCCCTCTTGGCCGTGACAGACAAGCCTTGTTTGCTCCTCTTTCGACCGCCTCCCAAGCAACCGCCTCAAATGCATGCTCCTTGGTTGCAGGATCGAATGAGCTCCTCTAGCGTCACAAACGCCACGAGCCCAAAGACTCGCATTGGTCGGTGCTATTCACGGCATGTCCTCACGTCCCAGCATCAAGAGTACGAGCTTCTCTGGGAGCAAGCGCCCCTTGGCCTCGTGTTTGGCACTGATGCGCCCGCACCGTACGTGAAACGTGTCAAGAAAGATTGCACTCTGCATATCAAGCAGCGGGGCAGCATTGTGCTGGACACGTTGGTGGCTGTCAACAACATGGCGACCCATGGGATGTCGGCAGTGGACTTGGCCACGATGCTGCGGTCGACTTCGTTTCCAGTTGTGCTTCGATTTCGACGGTGCTCGGCGAATGCCGCCGTGTCTGCGTCAGCCAATCCATCGCATACAAGTCAGCCTGACAATCTTGACTGCAACAACAACACCGAACAACCGACTCACAGATCGGGCATGGACACGATCTCAGACGCGTCCAGCAGCGACGCCCTCGACGACGACGACGACTTTCTCGGGAGCATTTCTGAAGACTTGGACGCGATGTCGATGCAAAAGTTTGCACGATCGTTCAATGTAGTGTGGCATGGAGGCGACCTCGGGCTCACGTTCGAGTACAGCGGTGGCAGCGCCGTCGTAAAGCGGTTGCGACCGCAAGGATGCGCCCGTCGATCGAATATGGTCCTTGTGGGTGATGCCCTCGCCAGCATCAACGGTCGTCGCATTCCCAAAGGCCAAGCTTTCAAAGACACAATGGAACAGCTCTTGAAGCTGCCGAAACCCGTGATCGTTGGCTTTGAACGCGACGAAGTTGTCACGCCGAATCATGCCAAACTGCAAAGTTCGGGGCTCATCCATCGCCCACTCAACTACGACGACGATGGAGCGGACCACGTTGAGGACCAGGGAGCTGTCGACGATTCGACAGAGGTTTTGGATACATCCACGCAGTTGTAAACGAGCATCGGTAACAAGTCACGAGTGAGTGCATAAACTGTGGGCATGATTGTTGCAACGTCGCCTTCATTGTCAGCATCACCATAGACCTCGGTGCTGGTGCTGGCGGCTCCAGCGAGGTCACGACAGCGCCGTGACCTCCGCTGCTCCTGGATACAGTATCTCATCATCCAACTCCCCCTTGCCCTGCCCCCAATGTTCTTCCACATCAATGCGCAACTCTCGAGGTACGAAGACACCGATGTTGAAGTTTGCCGCACTCACGGAAGACAAGGCATCCGGATCCGGAAACGAAGACTCGGTGACAAAATCTCATGGTCAAGATTGTGACTTGCATCATTGCATTGTTGATGTCTACCAGCGACGTGCAGCGTCGCTGAAGGACGAGCTTACAGCTCGTCGTGCATGCGCTAGTAGGAAGAACAACTGAGCATAGGAAAAGATTTTATTAACAACAGAGAGGTTTTGCAACTTGTCCAGTCACGATCCAGTTGTCGATTTGTAAACACAAAATCCAGTTGGTGACAAAACAGGAGTTCGCCTGTGAAACTTTGTTCTGGAACCTGTGAGACTCAATCTCTATGCAGCAGAAATGGCGAAATGTGCGGAACTACTTCCATTCCCACACCATTCAAACGATAGGCTCCTGCAGCTTTGATGTCCACCCCGGTCAAGCGGCGCAACTACACGGAGGAACAAGACCTCATGCTGCTACGGCAAGTTGCGTTGGACATGCCGTTCCTCGAACGGCGGGGCTTGATCATGGACAAGTGGGGGTCACTGG